AATTTTTAAGAAAAATCCGTTTATTATCTATAAACTTACCCGATATGTATCAAATATACTATATATTCGTACAAAATAACATAACTGCTGGCTAAAATGACGTTTGTGCAAAGTGTAACGTGCAAATAACTTGTGCTTTCGAAATTAAGACTTTATAAAACTATTATCAGTTATTAAATCTTATATTCATAATTAAATCATCTTAATAAACATTCAGCAATTAACAAGAAACGTCTGCTCTAAACGAACAGCAAGGTTGTAACTTTAAATTTCAAATGTCAAAGACACGTACAGTTATTATATTGCTACTGATCTTGCATGTCGACGGCGGACATCGACCATGTGTTAAGTTAATTCGTACGGCGGGTTTGTTCTTTTTGGTTCTTACAATAATATTGTTAATAATAATTTGAATTCCTACACAACCTACTCTAGAAATCCGTTTTATTGAAATATATTATTTACTAAGTACCTAGAGTTGTTATGGTCTCTTAAAATCTCTGCAGTGGTATCGTGTGCGTTAGGTGGTTACGATCCCTCAAATATAGTATAGTTGAGTTGTTTAGTTGAAATTAAAAAAGCAGCCCTTGCTGAGTTTCTTGTCAGTAAGAGATCTCCCGCCTTAGTTTTGCGAACCATTGGTAAAGTTTTCGACTTTCACAAGTACTATGTAACAGTCTAGATTGAATTGATTTTGATATTTATATTAATATCATTCGTTTTGTGGATGCATAATGACACTTCATCTTCATCATCATTTTTGTTCTCCATTCCAAACCTGAATTCGACGAAAGTTACGAGCAACCAATAAGTTGGCTCATCACTAATGTTGACGTATCAACCAAACATCGTTCCTTTACACGTAACATAATAAACAACTTAAACTTACAATTAAAATAAATTAAAATTAGTTTGAAAGTGAGACATTATAAGAAACACAAAACGATGTCATATTTATTAATCGAAAATACTCAATTTACATTTATTACGTCAGAAATAAAATTTGAATGAATATCATAAACAAAATCCAAAACTCGCGAGTGACATCTAGTATGATTTCAAGAACTAATTTTTATTTTTTAAATACTTCCTCATTCTCATGTCACTATAACTCTACCAAATTTAAAACGTTGCCTAATCCCTTCAAACGTTTCGGCAGTACAGCTTTTTAATTTTGTCAGATTATGATGTATTCATATTAGTCAAAATACGTAATCTGGAATTGTCATTCATTGTGAATGCTACTACTGCCTTCTTGTTGTTTTGCCATTTTCGGTGATTGAGTTATTACTGTTTTATTGTTGTTTTCTTAGTTTTGTTTTAGTTGTTATCTTTTTGTTGTTAAGTTTTACTAAATATGGACGATTCCAGTGCAGGCCCGAGTGGCCTACAACAATTACCTTTGACATTTCAGGAAGTTTTTCCAATGTCTTAATCAATAGACTAATAATATCTGAATAAATGTTATAAAAGTAATAATAAAAATTTCATTTTGTTTACCTTTCTTTTCTGGGCATAGATATAACTAAATTATATTCTAATTATATACACTTACAATTAAGATTTATCAAAACAACAGATAGATAGTTTTAGTTCCATGTTGGCTCCCACTAACAGATGAATTTAGAAAATGCTAGTCTCATCTTAAACCCAAGAAAATGGAAAATTGCCCAACTCTTTCAGACTACCTAACGTTCAAAATTTCAACAAAACTATTATAAATATTTTTTAAATTTATCTTGTAAATAAAATGTTCTGCATTGCTGCTTCTGAGATCCCTTTTTTAATGTTATAATGAATGGAGTATAGGTGACCAAATGTAGAAAAAAATTTATTGAAGTTTCTTAATCTTTTCCTGATATATGTTATTTAGGATGATATTGTAAACACAGTCTCCATTACTGTTTGATTTTTTTGTTCGGCTCCCCCATCTGTCATCACCCATACCCGCCGAACCAAAAATTTGTAGTTCAGTAGTGCAACACAGGTGTTACACTACAACAATGGGCCCCTACCAAATTTTTAGTTTGTTTTGTGCCAAGGTTTTAAAAGAAAATGGTAAAAAAAATTGAAAGACAAATTACGGGTTTCAAACTGAAAGAAAAGTGAGAAAATTCGCAAGGCACCAACCAAAAAGAATATTAATTTCATGGCGTTGCAAAGATATGTATAGGAAGGAATAGCCCCAAACCCCCACCTTGCGATTTTTATTTATTCCTGAAAATACAAGAACTTGCCCAACCGACTTACTTAATTAATATGCAATTTAAATTAGCTCATTGCTAATTATGATCTGCTCGTTGCTAAGTATATATGTTTTAATAATTCTAAGGAAAGAGAGTTAGAAATTTATATTAATATCAGAAATGAAATTTATATTTGTAACGCTGTGCCCCTTACCCTAACATTAAAAATTCAAATACTCATATAGAAATCTCGAGTTCGAATGAAATGAAATGTAAGTAATAAAACGAAATATAATTACTTAAATGAAAGGAAGCAAAACTAAATGAAATGTTTTTCAGGATGATACGCATGCAAGTGCGAATACAGTACACAGTAGGACCATTACACAGAACCGTACGCTGTATAACAATTTGCGCTAGTGACTTAACTTTATTTAATCGCTATACAACCTTCGGAGAATTCTCGCTTATTATACTTACCGATGTCGACTGATTTATCGGACCAGGAGTTTTTTTACGTTTCTGGGAACCTCTGCGGGTCAGAAAGCTCCACATGGCTGTATCTATCTGAAACATGACAACTTTTATTATATAAACTTCCCGTCACGGAAAGTAACAGGACAGGACAGAGAAAAAAAAAACCACTTAAGAATAGGGGATCGAGATGAGTTTAAAAAGCTAATAATTATATATTAAAGTTGCTTCGTCCAGTATGTTTTCTTGTAATATTAATACATATTGTTTCGAGTAACATAGACAAAAGTATTTTAAACTTATGACTTATGAGAAAACAAATAAAGTTTATTCCCGAGCCACGCCACAACATACGGCACAGAAACGTCCGATGTGTGAGTAATCCAGTCTGCTAGCCTCCTGTCCCATGGACGAAACTACTAATACTACAAGTCTCTCAGCGCTCATGTTTAAAACACTATATTATGGATACGCATTTTTTGCGCATAGTTGCAAGACTCTATCTACTCTATGTTTTAGGTTATGTATTTATAAGCTTAATACTATATTCTAACAAACTTCCAGAAAGAAGTTATTTTTTATAAAAAAAAAAAAGTTTTGTTATTTATAGCCTGTGTCTAACATCAAATGAAATACTAATTCACGTGCACGACTCCAATCGTGGTTTAAAAAGCGCGGGAAACTGTTAAAGAGTAAATAATTATACCTGCTTGGTTTTACCATAAAAACTGTTTATATAAGGTTGGAAAGGTAACTTTTGTGTTTTATTTATTTGTGTCACAGAACACCGAATTTGTGTATTACAAAAAACACTATATTATGGATACGCATTTTTTGCGCATAGTTGCAAGACTCTATCTACTCTATGTTTTAGGTTATGTATTTATAAGCTTAATACTATATTTTAACAAACTTCCAGAAAGAAGTTATTTTTTATAAAAAAAAAAGTTTTGTTATTTATAGCCTGTGTCTAACGTCAAATGAAATACTAATTCACGTGCACGACTCCAATCGTGGTTTAAAAAGCGCGGGAAACTGTTAAAGAGTAAATAATTTACCTGCTTGGTTTTACCATAAAAACTGTTTATATAAGGTTGGAAAGGTAACTTTTGTGTTTTATTTATTTGTGTCACAGAACACCGAATTTGTGTATTACAAAAACAATAACTATATATACAATAACTATAACTATATTATTTTAACTTTATTCTAACTAACTTAACATTTCCCTTGTATTCCCATACACGTACACTGACGGTTTTTATTATTAAAGGGGATGATCGAAATTTGCTTGTCCCCACATATGGATTAATGTTTAGATGTAAAAAACTAGAAATAAACTTAATAAGAGCATTATGAAAAAACATTAAAATCATTTAAATTTTAACGCATGAGATGTAGCGTGCTATTGAAATAAGATTAATAAGAAATGAATTTTCAACAAACATAAGATCCTAGAGTAGATTCATGTTCGGATATAAAAAACTCGCGGACAGCCATTAGTAAACCCATTATGTTAAAAAAAAGGAATAATAAATACCTAATTTAGATAATAAGTGTCCATTTTCAGCAATTTCTTGCTGAAGTTGATGAAATTTCATCCACCGAAGGCGAGTTTTTATCTACACAAGCAATACAACTCGCTGCAAGATCTTGCGAAATCGTTACGAAGAGAATGGCAAGCAAATTATTTTAGACATCAAAATGGCATTAACCTACCCAAGACCCCCAACAAGATTGACGAACTTCTCAAGCAGATAGATAATATTTAATGTAAATTAATGTTCAGGCAATCCACCCAAGAGTCGAAAGAAATATTTTTACAAATTCAAACATTTGACTATGATGAAAATTTGTTTTTAATAATTGGTAAATACACAAAATAGCAAAAAATGGTACAAGTAGCATGCCGGCTATTTTGTATGAATCAAGTTAACAACCTTGTGGTTAAATATATTTATTCTACCGTGATCGGTCATTTTACCCTAACGTGTAATAATACTTTAGTCTCGATGTTTTCTCTCATTCATTTTGCATCTTATCGCATTCTGATTATAAATTAATTAAAGGCGGACGGGAGTAGTTTTTTGAAAATATTAAAACGCATATTATCTAGCGTGCGAATCCATTACGGTCTTACTAATGATGTCAGGTTGTTTACAAAACATTTTTTACAATTCCATGTTTAATTCATCGTATATTTATATAAAACGAGATTTTTCTCTAATAAAAAATTCAATCCCTATGGCATTGATTCACTAATTGGACGTATGCCAGTTCCATACATAACACACGACGTACATGTAACCATGAAAATAAACATCTATGAATAAATTTCTCAGATTGTATATTGAGAAGCCAGTACAAGTTTTGGTATTTTACACATTAAACGTATTTAACGTTAGTAAATATCGTAAATAAATAATTTCGTTTATGTTCTAATTTGTTTACCAAACTGGCGCATCAATTTTGGATATCTTACCATCCTCCTACTGGTAAGCACGCTATTTGTATTTCTCTTTATTTATAATTTTCACTGAAACATGCTTTAAAAAAATTGCAAGCTACGTTCGCAAATATTGAATATAGATTGATACGTTTATACCAGCTATCTTGCCAAATGTAATTGTCCCAAATCCATATAGTCAAATAAGATTTTATTTTAAAGCTCCAAGGTTTTTTTAGTTACAAATTAATCTTATTTACTGTGCTCAATATACTTAAATAGCACGTTTTCTTTGATTTACTTTTCTTTCAGTCTGATTTCTCTTTATTTCTCCATCATTTGTCAATGTCATTCACCATAGGCCTCCGTTTTATTAGAGCCTATATGAAACACGATGTAGAAAAAAATATTATAATTGCGTAGCAGATATATAAAACATAAAACTACTTGATAAAACTCTTTTTCAGCGACTAATTGAACTACGGCTATGTTTTAAATTGTCCAAGCCCTAAAATATACAAATATTAACACAAACCCTTACTATCCATTGGTTACATATTTTGACTAAAATTCTAAAATTTGTCTATCAGACCACCTACTACCGTAACCATAAGAACGTTTTATTGATTTTAACAATGAATATATACGATATTTATAATATTTATTTATATTCTTTTAAAAATACAATTTAAAAAAAGCATACGCTGATGATGGTTATATTTAATATTATTTAACAACATAACATACATTGCTCAGATTCCAAGATGAGTATCTAAAGCCCCCGTATTATGGAGTATCTGAGACAACGAAGGTACCACAACACCCAGACCCGAGTCAATATAGAAAAATTCATTTTCTACATTAACCGAGCGGGAATCGAACCCGGGACCTCAGAGATGGCGACACCTTGAAACCGGCGTGCGAACCACTCGACTACGTTATGTCTAAATAAAATTAAATATGAAATCAAATTTTGATAACAAACATTCCGAAAACATAAATTAATCTAATATTTTTAACATAATTAAAATAAATCATTAAATTAATCTTAATAAATAACTAAAATAAATAGGCGCTTTTTTATTTTATAAAATTGATAATAGGTAAGTTTTTTTAATCCAATATTAGACTTCTTACATATTGTGTATACCTGGCCAAAGTGATACAACTGACCTATCAAACTGAATAGTCGATATAAGTGTTCTCTGCAATTTGCGTAATGTATTTCTTTAGTTGAATTTGTCGCATAGGGGCAAAACACACGTCCAGTGGTGATGAAACGCCGCCTATACCAGAAGAAGAACTCGAACAACAAAAGATTGAACATGAGAAACAAATACAAAAGGTCAGTCCAAAAAAATGGAAAATATATATTTTTTTAATATTCGTATGTGAATTAATAACAAATATCAAGTGGCTTTAAATATTTATGTTGGGGACGTGATCACAAATTTGATATATTGCTTATGGTACTTATGGTAGGTATTATACCTACCATAAGTACCACCTACTAAATACAAACTATTTGTACATTATAGTAAGCAACAAAACAATGTGACATTGTTATTTTTTGCAATACTCGTAGTAACTAACACTTGTATCATATGAAATAAAAAAATAACTACATCGCCGTCAGTGTTGCTAATGTAAAATTTGGAAAAGACAAAAATGATGATAAAAGGTATAGTTATTATATATAAAGTCAAATAGCATTTCTTATAAAAAATATATGATCGTATACGACTTAAAATTTTTATTATTACATAGTTCGACATCGAGAAAGTTATAAATTTATAACAACTTGACCCATTCTTGGAAAATGTTTTCGAAATTAGAATCATTTATAATTATTTGCTTTCCATCTTAAGGAGAAGGGATTTATATAAATTCAGCCTAGGTATAGAGGCCGCCTCTTTGAAAGAAAATTTCGAAACTTGTAACAATGAGAATTATTTACTTCTCATCTTAAGGAGAAGGAATGCCAAGCTCGTGAAGCACAAGAGGTCGCACAGCTCGATAAAGAGTTGCTCCACCAGCGAGCAATAGAAGCAGAGGAGGAGCAAAAGAGAGAGGTAACTACTGACTTATCCGTGGTCTTATAGACAACACAATATTGTTTAACTGATCATCTAATGATTTGTTACTAATAGTTGTCTATCAATTATTATAACGTATAAGCGATACGATGTATAAGTTATTAACGAAGTAACGTTACCCAATACTATTTTTAACCGACTTTAAAAAAGAAAGAGGTTCTCAATTCGACTGTATGTTTTTTGTGTGTGTTTGTTAAACGATTACTACACTAATTATAAATCAATTTTCAAAATTATTTTTATATTCGATAGCTTAATGTGCAGAGGTGGTTCCACTCTTTAAGTGGTTAAGATTTTATTTTTCAAAATAGGTTTTATTTAGAGAAGGATGATCAAATATGCACTGGAATCATTTATTAAATCGTGCAAAATAAATAAAATTTCTAGGACATTCGTTGTGGTAATATAATATAATTTGTTTTATATAGATATTTATATATAAGTGATACCTATACAAAATATCCACAATAGTTTTACACTTTTTTGAAATTATTTAGAACAGCTTTACAACTGCTTTGTAAACTACTCAAGTCTTAATTACAACGAATTGCCAACAACAGGAAAAAAATTTTATGGTTCAGAACGCTGAGGCGGTGGAAGAACTACGTGGTATGAACACATCCTGGTCTCATCACAGGCTTTGTGATTTGCAACGACAAGCGGCGAGATGGAGGAACAGTCGTCCCTCTATCCCAGATACCACGAAACATTATAGGGTAACATTTTAAATTAAAAAAAACCGGTTGGTGGCCAGGGAACACTTAGTAGGCGAGTGTGACAACTCGTTCACCAAGGGTTTCGTGCAATTTTGTGGGTCGCAAATAATTCTGGAATCAAATCAAATATGGTTTGAAACATACACATCAAAACCTTTAATACTGATTTCCACTCCCTAATTTAAGATTTAACTAAAAATCTTTCGACTTTTTTATCCTAAATTAAACTCTATAAAAAGATTTTACTAGCCAAATTTCATAGTTCTAAGTCGACGGTAAGTACCCAATCAATTTCTATTTCCTTGAGAGTACCGAAATATGTGGCATAAATGATATCCAAAATTAAAGATTTTGTCAGACAGACCGTTAAAAAAAATGTTCCGTAAGAGTTTCATTTTAATATGAGGAAATCTAAAACATATTGCCTATACGATTCTAATTCAAACGTGCCCATTTTTCAGGCACCTATGCGGCATACGAAGAATACTCCATCTGTTTCTTCTTTACTTATTCTTAATAACATTAAATTAACACAATAGAAATATTATTTATTAATAAATTAAAACATTTTCAATTACGGTAGAATACTTGTTCAAAAACATAATTTGTTACAAAACAAAAATCTTTACAACCTGTCAGGAACGTTAGCGAATGGTTTAATGTTAAGTTTATAATCAATCATTTGTTGCTAACTGCTTGCACTCATAAGAGTATTCGATTGATTATGTATCCTAACAACTTGAGTATGATTAAAAATATATTAACAAAATCTAATACTTTTATTATTTTGTACTATATTAACGTAATTTGGGACCCAACTGTCAATCAAAAACCTCATTTTTTTAATTTTTTCACAGAACGTCCTGAAGAAGGCATGCAGTGCCCAATTCACAAAACCACATTCCAGCCAGAGCATAAGCGAGGAAGATGGTATTTTCATTAACTTGTCACGTCTACAATCTTGCCGAGGTGAGTGAAGTATTGATATAACTATAATATACACCCCAAAAAATATCCCAGGTGTCAGTTTTATTGAAATGAAATATTTCACGTCTACTTTAGATTTATCTTAAAGAAAAGTAACGAAATATCGCCAGTACTAGGTACCCGAGATGGAGATAATCCGGTATGACAGTCCAGTAAAATTAAAAACCATTCTATTGCGCTGGACTTGCTTGATTACTGCCTTGAGGATTGTCTTCATTACCACGAGACCAGTAATAGCCTGGCTTACTAGACTGTCTCGGTTACTGGCCTATCGTAAATGATTCACTAGGGGTTACTTTACGACTACCTAATACTTCCAAAAACTACGAGATGGCGGTGAAGAAACTGTTTTACCAAGTAAGAGTCGAGACTGTTATTATAGCATGGTTAAACAGAGAACAACGCCATCTAATGGCTTCAGAAATAACTATTGTTTTCAATAGTATAGGAACACAACCGAAAAGAATTTAATGGATATAATACAATTCACGTATTTCATCTAATAACCAAGATATTAATATATATTAAATAAAATGCTATTTTACCTTCGCCTTAGTACGCTATAAAATTAAATTTCTTTTTTATTCTGTCACTTAAAAGCCTATTAAAAAGTCTATAAGTACATAAGTACGATATTATAATCGAAATACTCAATTACCATGTATTTTAAAAAGGAAAAAGAAATATTTTTAAAATGGAACTAATAGTGGCGAATTTGGCGATGTGGTAAAACGCATGCATCACGTTATGTTAAGGCTAAAGTAAAAAAAAAAACAATGGCACCAAATCTCAAGTCAGGAAGTTTTCAATTACAAATTGATTCGGTGATTTGATAATAATTTTTTTCCGCAATCGAGGTAAAAGCACACACACCATAAAACTTGTTATAAATCGTTGTCTTTTACTTGCTTTACAAAAGCTCGACAGAATAACTAGGTACCATGATTAATGGATCATTATAGCCCCTTGAAAAAATCTATAAATACCAAATAAATATAAGGAACTCACAGTGATGCTGATATGTCAAAGTTGATAATCATTGTTGGATGGGTATTTCAACAGATGAGTCACTAGATAGTGATGGGTGCTGTGAGACCCCTGGTTGCATCACTGCTGAAAGCAGGGCATGGCGTGCTTCCGCCAACGACATCAGCTCACGAACACGTATGGACTTAGTCAGGGCGCCATCTTGCCCGGGGTAAGATTTAAATTTTGAACCGAGGTTTTATTAAAATCAAACGTAAAATCTGACTGAAGATCAGCCTTTGGATCAGACAAGCGTTTCACGAAACTATGAATCAGTACGCAACGGAATTTCCGTTGAGTGTGCATGTAATGCGTTATGCGAATGTAAAATAAATGTCCGCGCCCGACGTCGATACGAGATGCATCTTCCTTGATGCACCTACTAAAAGTAGAATCCACGCCCATTTTATGGTGAATAATTTTAATGTTTAATTATAGATAAAGCTATCGTGTAAGTTTTTGTGTCTGGAATTGATTAAGCGTAACTTATAAACTCTACGGGGGATAACAACAGTGGGCACAACCCACCCAAAAGGAGCATCAAACATCAAATCAAGTAAGTTTAATCAAAGTGGTCTAGCATTGAACAATTGACGTGAGTGTATTTATAATTAACTAGGTTGATGTAGCTTTCCGTAGATAAAGAATTTTTAAAATCGGTCCAATAAATGCAAACAAAGAATCAAATATTTCATTGTTATAGACAGGCTGTTTTCGCGCGATTTCCTCGCATAAATTATAACCTATGTCATCCGCGTATGATGTAACTTCCCGTAGGTGAAGAATTTTCATGATCGGTTCAGTATTTCCAAAGTTCATCTCCTACAAAAAAAACAACGTTCAAAACTTTAATTCTTTATAATATAGATTTGCAAAGAGGGTAAAAACTTACCAAATGACTGCACGATCAATTAAAAATCTACACTATTAACTTAAATAACCAAAAACGTCACTCTGTGACAATTCCAGTTTGCAAATGTGTAAAAAAAATGTTTACACTAATTTTGTAAAATCTTATTATACTAGCAACCAAAGAAAATTTAAACACTACATTTAGTAGCAGTAATAATTTTTAAGAATTAAAAACATTCGATAACTAATTTTAGATTACATCTTGCTCCCTATATAACCGTCTGAGTAGTACAGCGAATATTCGTAATGTAATACTGATAAAAAATAACCAATATCCAGCGAATATGCGTAGTTTGATGCTAACAATTTACACAACATCAATAATTTCTGAGAACTGGCTAATTTCAACCGATTCACAAAAATCAATGATATCAAATAAATGTATATAATATACTCAGACAGATCTCTTCACACCCTACGTTCTCGCAAATGGATGTATTCAACAGAGAAATAACATAATATTGCAGTAACTAAGTGTAGTCCTTTAAATAGAAAGCAGATTTAAAGAATTTAAGTAAATTACTTAAAGTCATTAATTAAATTCGCAATTTTAATAGAGCGATCTCTTTGTTAGTAAACTCCCAGGACACGCGAGAGGCTGTATCGATCTGTATTTAAAAATAGGACCCAAACGACCTAAAACTATGACGAATTATTAACGTCGCATTTATATATTTCCGTAAGACATAATATAATAAATAAATGCAGAATTTATAAGAATTAACGGCATTCATATCTATTGGATTTTTATATAAATATTTCCATTTATATATGTTCTAGTATAAATTCATGGCTGGGGTAAGTCTAGAACTAGGTCATAGGGTGTGTAAGCCCTGAACAGAGCGCATGCGCAAAATCTCGAGCCTGCGCGCCCCAGTCACAAGCCTCCCACAACCAGTACACACCTGCAATACGACTAACTTCGCAGTTTATTGTTTCGACCATCCGCATGTCGACCACGTAGAACAGCCATTTGCGATCCCGGTGAGTCCATATTCAATAATGACGCGTTCTACGTCCTACCTATCCACAACACTATCGTTCAACCTATTCCTCGATTTTTACCGTGACTAGACTCCAGTGGTTAGATGTTACGGTGTGATTTACTCTACTTTGTAAACCTTAGTGGTGTAGATATTAGCGTTAGGGCATGCATGCTTCTCTGTGTTTCTTCTACCCTTGAGTGTAAACTGTATCTCCCCATGTCCTCCGTCAGTGTTTCGGCTCGGGAGCCGGCGAGTGGAGTCGTGTGAACGTTTTATAGCAGATAAGATGTTTGTAGGGAGTTAAGATGCCGTTGCTAAGCGTAGGAGCGGAATGAGGCGACAAGAGATGCAGTACAAAGGGACGGAGGGTGGTGGCGGCAAGGAGGGCTCGCAGATGTCTCGCAGCGAGTCCACCATCAGCCGCTGCACGCCACACACTCCACTGGGGCCACCGGACAGCGCCAGCGTCGACTCCAACCCCATGCCTACCATATATCGGTAACTCACCAGGCTTGCCCATCGGGAGAAGATGTTACCATCTATTTTATCTGCAGCATTGCTCAAGCGAGCGTCACGCTAATTAATGCTCGACGGCTAAATATTTAGCGCGTAATGAGACACTGAACTATAAATGTGTCAGAGAAACTATATGAAATTATAAAAGCCGTCTTATTACACGTTAAAGTTATCATGTTCGAGTAGACTAGTATTAATAAGGACATCAACTTACAAGATGACGATTGAGACGAGTTAGTAGGGCGTAATCCTTGCGTAAGAGTTTTTTGAATATGATATAAAAAAAACCCAGAGAGACTAATTTTGCTGTCTTAACTATATATAAAACAAAATCGTACGTACTTATGTATAGCCAAGCGGCTTTGCATACCATTTACATATTAAAACGTCGTCATTTATTATTACCGTAAGGTTTCTGACGAATTTGTAATTTTTGTATCATACACCTCACTAAGACGTCTTGATTATCCTTGTTCGCCCTGCAAGAATATATTACTATATCCTGTTATGTCTTCTCCCGAAGGCAATTAAGCTGAGAGAGCACCCCGCCAGCATCGCGCACCGCGATCGTCGCATGCGAGTAGGTACCACCACTACAAAACAATACATTCTTATACAATCGTCAAGGACTGGCCTTGATTAAAAAAAAAAACGAAAAATAAACATTTAAAAGCATTGTTACTTCATATTATTTTCACTTGTAAACTTCTGTAAATTGAATGGCCATGAAGTTGATACTGTCAAGAATGTCGAGTGTTTTGTATCGACCGCTTAGCTTACCTTATGCTGGTTCGGCAGGAGAGATCATCTGAAACCAGGTATGGTAAAAACTCCCCTTTGTTCTTGACTCACTTTCGCTTACCACAAGTGTCATTTGTCTTTTCCTCTATCACCTTTAGAAACTTTCTTTAAGCCCTGTCTATCCCAAACCCGCATACAAAATCTTTTAGAATGTATCAATAAACAATTGTATACAGTCAAAAAATCTAGGAAAACTGCTTTATTAATAAAATTAATATACACATACAATGTTATTAATAAACAAGGTTTAGCGTTGGGGTAATTATATTAATACTGAGACTGCACTTAGTATTAGACAAAATTTATATTATTAAACAGAGACTTACCAAAGGTTAATCTAGTAATATTTACTCCTATAAGGTAGTAGGTTTGCTTACTCTTGGTATAATATGAATTTGGACTAATACTAAAATTGCAATTTTAGCTTAAATTTACTCTGACGCTAAACCTTGTTTATTAATAACACTGTTAGAGTAAAAAACACATTATCAATGAGTTAATACTTTCATTGATTAGAAATAGTAAAAAATATAGAGATATATAAGTGATGTCTATAGGGTTATGTTTTAGAAACACATAAAGATATCGGTTATTTAGCTTAGAAGTAGGAATTTTATTACATATCACACATTATAAATATCATTAGTGAAATAGTATCGATATCATTAATTCATCAGTAGTTTCATTAGTTATAAATATAATTGTGTACATCGTCGCGTAAAAACTTCGATCGATATTGTTGATCGAAGTGTAAAAAATTTAATTCGACAAGACAAAGCGAAAGTGTCTACAGAAACATCAGATATAATAATGAAAATTAGCGTTCCGCATGTATTTGGTAGTAGAGGTAAAAATATAGAGCTGATTTTATTTTAAAGTTGAATACAAAGACAAAGCGAAAATTAATCAGAGAGAAAGAGAGACAGATTAGAATCTAATAATCTAAGGCACGGTATAAAAAAAATACCCTCATCTATTAATTGATTGTTAAAAAAAATTGTATATAATAATAATGTGATTTTATAATAAATAAAAAAAATCTTTTACTATTCTCGGTAATTTATTTTTAAGCTAATATGGATATTTAGATTATAAACCTAAAGAATTACTATTCAAAATATTTTTTTACATTCTTCCTAATAATTTAAAATTACGCAAAAATAATTACTAAAACGAAATTTCAAGATCACATTTAATCCCCGATTTACCATGAGCTTGCATGCAAGCGCTAAAAAATAAATTTTGAAAGTAAAAACAAAATACTTTAAAACTATTTTTTTTACTTTTTTAAAACTATTTTTTATTTTTTAGCCCTAGCATGCAATCAGGGGTGATCTGTATACAAAAAATTATAAAAATAAAGCGCCTAGGAACAAGAAGTGTCAACGGTATGTAAGACCCACCCTTACATTAATAACCATATTCACGGATAAATTAATATGATGGTAAATAAAAAATTATTACCTAGTTTAATTATTGGAGACTAGGTCAGCAGATTTTATGGGTATTTAGTTTATTAGTAAACAATACACAATTACAGAAATCAAAACATTCATATAATGTATGTACGTATATGTGGTTGAGGAAAAGCTTCTTTCGGTATCATGAAAAAAAAATAAATTTTAAAGAAGATAACTCATAATTCAAATTAGGAAAATTTTTGATTTTCATATACATTCTAAAATTGTATTACAAAATAAGGTAAAAATGTAATGCAAGCCGCGAAAAAATATGTGGAATTTATTTCTGTGGGAGTAGCACAAATTTGGTTTAGGCTTTTACAGACAAGTATTTTGATGTCAATGATGCCCATCGCCCCGGTCGCCCTTTTACAGATAAAATGGATGCTGTTTTGAAAAAGTGGAGCAAGATCGGCATATAAATAGCTGAAGAACTGGGGATTGACCACAAAAAGGTCGTGGTCAAAGGTAGGTCAGGCTTCACAGACTGTAGTGAAACTAGGATTAACTCGCAACAAGGTGATGATGTGTGTATGATGGGATTGGAAGGGCATTATTAATTATGAGTTGTTACCGCCAGGCAGGACCATCGATTCTGAACTCTATTGCAAACAACTGATGAGATTAAAGCAAAAATTTGAGTGAAAACGGCCAGAATTAATCAATAGAAGGGGTGTGGTTTTTCATCATAATAACGCTAGACCTCATATGTCGTTTGCCACTTAGCAAAAATTAAGAGAGTTTGGCTAGAAAAAACTTCAGATTTCCACCTATTTCGGTCTCTTCAGAATTCTTTAGGCATGGCCAGGTTAACGCGAGTACTGCCTAAACCGTTTGTCGCGATTTTTTTATCATAATTTTTTAATTCTATGGCATAGGATCATGTCCCTACTTACAAGATGCAAAGGTTATCAAACAAAATGTTACTTATGAGCTTTAGTTAAATATAAATAAATGTTTTGATTTTTCATATAAAATGTGAAGAAACCAACCTGTTATGTACGTATATATTATACATGTAAATATTCTGATATACCTGGGTGGATTCACCTTTTAAGAAATGTGGTATATCCATTAGTAAGAAAACAGAAATAGTAACAGAAAATCTACACAAACCTGGATACTTTACTTTTACTTTTTGTAAAGGAAACCAAATAGTGTTACGTTTAGGGATTAAACTATGATTTTATTTCATGTAATATATAAATTATGTAACAGATGAGGGTATATTAGCGTCGCCTGGATACATGTTGTACCTATAGTTGAAGTTATCCAACTCTATCTATACTTTTCTTCTGTTTACGGAACATTATTACAGTACAAATAATATTACTATACTTGTATACTTCGGTAAATATTTAATTGAATGAGGGAAGCTAATATAAGAGCCTATTATAGTTTATAGTGGTTTAGCTAGGCAACCCATTTTTAATTTCTTAATCCATGTACATGTACTTAGTTTTTAAATTTTATTGGAGTCAATTGATAGATGAGGGTATATTTTTCTTATTCGAATCTTGTTCTATAATGGACATGTACTGTGTCTATTTCGGCAAAGAAGAATAATAAAAATTCTTAAATCAGCCTGATGATTTTTTACCCCATGGTTAAGAATCACTGATATGGATCAAAAGTATATAAAGTTTACACGAAAGTAATATGTGAGGTTCATATGAAATTATTTTCAGGTTTATTATCTCACAAATAATGTCAATATTTCAAAAATATGTGACGTCCGTGTGATTTATGTCTCTATAATATTTACTTATATTTACGTTGATTTAAGATACTTCATAAAATTTTAACTCTCCATATATATACATTATGAAAGAAGACTACTGAACAATAAAAATAAAAGGGTATATAAAAATACCGGGCCCTTCTGGCAAGATACCGGGCCCTTCTGGCAAGATACCAGGCTCTTCCTATTCGCGTGTCACATTAAATTGCCCTTTTCAGGGCAGGGTGGAAAAAGAGCCCTGGTTTAAGGCCTAGGGTGCATTTCTCCTGCGTTATCAAAAAAAGGTTAAGTAAAGATAAATTATGGTGCTAATTTCTCACAAATAATGTCAATATTTCAAAAATATGTGACGTCCGTGTGAATTATGTCTCTATAATATTTACTTATATTTACGTTGATTTAAGATACTTCATAAAATTTTAACTCTCCATACATATACATTATGAAAGAATACTTCTGAACAATAAAAAAAATAGGGTATATAAAGATACCGGGCCCTTCTGGCAAGATACCAGGCTCTTCCTATTCGCGTGTCACATTAACTTGCCCTTTTCAGGGCAGGGTGGAAAAAGAGCCCTGGTTTAAGGCCTAGGGTGCATTTCTCCTGCGTTATCAAAAAAAAGGTTAGGTAAAGATAAATTATGGTGCTAATTGTCTGTATAGAGCTGTAATTTCAGTTTAGGCACTATATAGTCTTCTAATGACACATCATGTGTGACGTTAGAAATATTATTAATACTCCTGTAGGTGTAGGCAGTTTAATATAAATTAATAATTTATAATTGTTATCTAAGTTGTTATAGTAAGAGGATTAAGACTAGTCTAGTTTGTACAAACAGAATTGACATAATTAATAAAAACTAACTACGAAAAATTGGGAATATTATGCGTTATCTAGAAAAATATATTTTATTAGCAGACAGTGTTATATGCCACTCACATCCTATCAATTAGGTAGTGTTTTAAATGTTATGATTGTTAAAAAAAAGTTGTTTTATGGTTTCATACACAGCAAGGCCTTTAGGATTTTGTTTAACGCTTAACAAGAGGCAGTGTTTAAATCCTCTTTGGTGGAACAGTCAAATAAATAAATAAATATAAACAAATAAATATATTACGTGACAACATTCTTTTAAGATGATAACTATGCTTCTCTAGAATGTGAAGTGATTGAATTCTATAATAAAAAGTAACTTAATTTCTTTTACACGGTCAGCTTTTGTTATATTGATAATGATTTATTTTATAGAAATTATGTATAACTAGGCATTTTTAATATTAAATGTTATTTTTTTATTGTTCTATAGATGTCGGGCCCCAATCGCGTCCTTGGACTGCATGGACGATTTCAGTGCTAACTCGCAACAGATGCTAGACCAAGGTAAGGAAAATCATCATCGTCATCATCACAGAACACGGAAAATAGGTTAGAAAGGCGATCATGTATCCTTTGTACGAAAACCGGATATCGCCAGTCTTACCCCACTTTTCGTCCGCCGTACATCAGATGAAATATTAGACCAATTATATAAAAGATATGCACACACTTGCATTTGAAACACTCCAATATAACTATAACCAATCACGCTCAACCATAACAGACATCTAGAGTGCGTAATTAACGTGTAAAGCCATTTTATTTGACGTTACTCTAGTGATTGACATAGGTAAAGTTATTTACTATCGATATTAAAAAACAACAAGAAAATTAATTGAAAGGATACTGGAGTAATGATTTCTTTATAATAATTTGGATATACATTGAATTGTATTGATTAAATATGACATATTATCTATTATCTTTTTATTATCTTTTTTCTTTAGATATTAATTATTAAGTAGTTGGTTACTTCAGTAAGAAATATTTAAATCACTTCCTAATAATTAACTAACATTGAATCGGTACTAGTCGTGCTTAAATATTTATTTGCATACAAGTATGTTTGTTTATAAATGATAATAGTAGGTATATTTTTTACGTTCCTCGATTTCGTATCAAGTAAACAGATAAGATCGGCAACATCGCTTCAATGAAACTAGTAACATTGATAAAGAATATAATGTAAATAAATGTAAACAAAATAAAAAAATACAATTAGTTACAATAAATACTATTGGAACGGATTACCCCGAACGGATTCTGACGATTTCAAAAGTATTGTTGTTAATGGTTCAAAATAAAAAAAAACTAATTTTCTGTTACAATATTAAGAATATAAAAACAGATTCTTTCGCTACACCACACTTATTATTAAATTAATATACAAACGCATACCAAACGAAGTCAATATGGTAGTCAAGAATAAAATAAATAAATAAAATGTAACCCACATTTTATTTATTGCTATTGTTAATCTCTGATTAAATTTATCTTTTATTATCACTATTTTTATCGTCCTTACTTTTATTTAGGTTTTACTAACTTACACACCAAGAATCGATTAAATGATTCCAGGCACTTCACTAGCCATCTATCGTAATCTATTATGTTACCATTTAAAACGGTGATTTCGCAATGTTCTTTACATTACGTGCTTAGTACGACGCAATGTAATAAATATTCGTACTTCTCCAGCAATTATTATATTTTCTTGGAATATTTTTTGTGATTCACACTTTTGATAACATTTCACGAATTTCGACTAAAAATACTAAATTGGAGAAGTGTTCTACTTACTAATGGAAAGAAATCCTTCCTTTGGACCTATACTTGAGGATGGGCATCTTGTTTTGCAATTAATAACTGCGCAAGTCGGCATTTTTAACACTTTTAGTGGCGTGTTTCACAGTACTTACAGCGCGTGCGTTTGTGAATGACTAAACATCGCTATCGCGTGGTGAAGTCACGATCCAGTACATATGTCCAGGATCGTGGCTACACTGCCACGCCCACAAGGCCCTTCTAACGTCTTTCTGTTCTGTGGTCATCATCAGTCCTTTTTACGTCTCCACGGCAGGGGCACAGCCCTTCCTGATGAATGGTTAAAAAGGATGGACCGTGACCCTCTGGGCACAATGCGGATTGAAGGATATTAACAACTGCAAATGCAACCAAGACCAACAGCTTACCGTGCCTTCCGAAGTACGGAGTAGCTCAAAATAAAAATTTTTGGCCATCCATATCGTGACAGACCCTTGTGAAAGTTGCTTAACAAGAAGGATCGCGGGCCGCAGCGCTAATCCACTACGCCACAGAGCCACTCAAGTTAAGGATAATTGCTTACATAAACTTGGAGTTATTTATACTGACCACTATTTCTCTCGTATCTATAGTCAAGTAGAAGCAAATTTGGAAATATTTTACTCATTATACGAGAATTTAATTCATGTAAGTACTGTCATTAGCTTATTCTATCAAATTCCAACTGTCCAACAGTTCTTAGTTCATTAAAATTATCATCTATTGGTTAAAAATATTTGCTAAATTTATCGCTCAAGTAATTACTTCTTTTGGACTATATGTGTTAGTAATTGACCACACATCGTTGTCACAGCATAGAGGTAAATAAAACTATTTAATGTAGGTTTTATTATTTTTTAAATGTTTTAATATTTTCTATAATAAAACATACATACCTTCAAACATGAAAACCGTTCCTTTTCCGAGTCATAAAACCATAATCATTAGGTAAATGCCAAAAAAAAATATAAACTTATTTGCAGTTGCTTATAAAGTTTGAGCTACATTTTTTCAATTGCTTTATGCATAAACTTTAATTATGGTGTACGGTAATTTGTTTATACATCGACGAATCAAAGGAAAGGGAGATCATTTTTTACGATATTTTTACCAGATCTTATACCAGATGATCACATTAAATATTAGTTGTGCTGGGGATCGAAGAGGAACGTTTTAGATTAAACTAGAATCGACTTAAATAATACTATAATCAGTCCGTCGTGATATGGTTAAAATAATAAACACGTCGTGACTTTTCTTCATTGATACAACGCGTTGTGGTCGAATAACATGTCAGTTACGACACGGATTTCGCTACGTGGTTCTTCTGCGAATGCCACAACGCGTTGTGAGCGTTACCATAAGAGCCATGACAAGAATTTCGTTAGTATTCGAATGTTTTCGTTTATAAATGCGTTTCGAATATATATTGTGACCACAACGCGCTGTGAACTATTTTTTCACTCAATGAGTGATTTCGATCTTTGAGCTTAACATAATATATAACTTGTACGACAATTCAATATAATATGGAATGGACCTGATCTGATTATGACGCCTAAGTGACCTCTGTACGAATGTTGGGGATGCAAAATAACCTAAAGAATTAGTTTGATTTGTCCAGATGAAACTGCGACATTCTTGTTGGTTCAACAGCAGCGTTCGAAACATAATACATATGTACATAGCTGTATAAGCTTGAAATGTTTTTACTTTAGTATTATACCCAAAAAAATGGTCTATAAACCAACAAAAACATAAATTTTATCAAACAAATGTAGAAATACTATTTAAAAACACTATAGTTCTCGTATGTCATGTGTAAAGTAATCTCAAATGGGTTCAACTTATATCTGATAAAGTACCGAACTAGCCATCACATTATTTCGAATGAAATGAATAAATGGGCCCTGGAGGACACAATACAAAACATCACAATTCAACAATAATAAACACTTTAACACAGAAAATCATTCTTATGTAGGTAACACTAAATTGTAGTACTGCTTTTTATTTTTTGTTTAAAAAGAGAGATACACGAGGTACTTACGAGGATCCATCTACCATCATGACTAAACACGAACTACCCTCCGATATGTGCGTAGTCTTAATTAGAATCCCCATTATGCGGCGTTTAAGTCAGTCAGATCGGAGGGAGGAAACTCCTCCCTCCGATCTTATAAAAGCAATAATATTTAATTACAAAATTAATTTTACCTCTGCTTATATACCGGATGAAAATTGTTATATTAATTTTATCTTCTATTAAAAAAAGTAAATAACTATGTATTTTATAAAATATATTGTTGTCAACTATGTGACATTTTATTAGGCTTAAAAATGTGAATCAACCACTACGAAAATTATCTATTTTTCAATACCACAAGTAATAGTACTTATACTTATAGGTTGCCTGGAAGATATTGCTATGTAGCAATAAGGCCGCTGTAATCGACAGCAAGCATAGAGGACTGTAGATCGTTAATAATATAACTTTTAACACAGAGAAAGATTTATTGATGACCAACGTACAAAAGCAAGATACATTGAGAATACATTGACAAAGTCAAAAAGTAATAAAATAAATAAATTAAAAACAAGTATAAAAGCCTCCTTAAAGAGGTCAGTAATAATATATCAAAAACATGGTAAGGCTGTCGGCAACAGCCGCCTTTTTGTACACTTTTTTTTTCTCTAGCTGTGTAATTTGTTACTCGTCTTGTGTGTGCAATAAAGTATATTATTATTATTCCTATATTTATAATTTACTCTTCCCGACCCCTCGACGATTCGAGGGGTGGGAGGATTCCCCCTGGCAGAGGAGGCCAGACGGCCGGGGGTCAGGGCGACAAAGAGAGAAAACGGCGGACGATCCTTGCGTTATCGAGCAAGATCGCCCGCTGGAGCCTCGCAATCATTGGTCCGTCACGGAGTCCCAACCTCTTCAGATGGTCGTGAAGAGAAGTTGGGACTAGGCCATTCGTTGACACTACGACTGGGATGATCTCAGTGGATGACACTCGCCACATATCGGTAACCTCGTGCGCCAGGTTCAGATATTTAAGTTTTTTATCTGATTCGGCTTTCACGAGGTTTTCATCGAATGGGACGGTGACATCCACTACGAACACCCGAGATTCCGCCCGGTCCATCAGTACGATATCAGGCTTGTTCGCAGGAACAGTCCTGTCCGTAATGATGGACCGGTCCCAATACAATCGAGCGCGGTCGTTTTCAAGAACTGGCTCCGGCACATACTTATAGTACGGCACCTTTTCGCCTATGAGGCCGTATTTGAAGGCTAGCTCGAGATGGAGTATTTTGGCTGCTTGGTCATGCCTGTGCAAATACTCGGTATTAGCCAGTACAGGACAACCGGAAGTAATATGCGTGAGTGACTCACCGGGCTGGTGACAGGCTCTACAAACGTCCTCTGTCCCATCCTTCAGGATATACTTCCGGTAATTTCGGGTCATAATGACCTGGTCCTGTATTGCACAGACAAAACCTTCGGTTTCCCCAAAGAGGTCCCCGAAGCGCAGCCAATGCACGGAGGCTCTCGGATCCACGTGACGCTCGTGTAGCGCCTTATAGAATCTACCGTGCAACTCCTTCTCCCTCCAAACAGCCTCTCGGTCAGTGGTGCTAAGTACTGCCGGTTCTCGCCATTCCTCGGTGGCCAAAGAGAGAGGGGTTAGTCCTACATCACATGCTTTGACATCTCTATGCAACTCACTTGATTCCGCTTTCGCCAGGAAGTAATTACGGAGACTATGTATCTCGTGGTTGTGCAGGGTTTTCGCACTGAGCAGCCCACGACCGCCACTCTTCCTCGGGCTATACAGCCTCATCACTGACGATCTCGGGTGGTGCATCCTATGGAGTGTCAAAGTTGTGCGGACTTTCCGATCCAGGGCGTCCAATTCGGTCTGAGTCCATCTGAGTATGCCAAAGGTGTACATTAGGACTGGCATGACCCAACCATTAATGGCCCTGACTTTGTTGACGCTTGACAGGTAGCTTTCAAGTACCTTAGTTAGGCGTCCCAAAAAGGCCTCCTTAACGGATTGTTTCACGTCCGCCATATGCACACCTAGATTTTGTGACATACCCAGATACCGGTATGTATCAGTTTCGGAGAGGGTACGGATGGTGGATCCATCCGGTAGGTCCACTTGGGTGGAATCACTTATCCGACCTCTATCCACATGGATAACCGCACACTTGTCCAGCCCAAACTCCATGCTGATGGAGCTACTGAAATCCTTTGTGATTTTTAGCAACTCCGCCAGCCTCTGAGCATTCGGGGCAAGCAACTTGAGATCATCCATGTAGAAGAGGTGAGATATTTTGAACAATCCTCTCTTCAACTGAAAACCCGTCCCTGGTTTATCCAGCAAAGTGCTAAGCGGATTTAGGGACAGGCAAAACCAAAGTGGACTCAGACAATCGCCCTGGAATATACCCCTCTCAATTTTTATTCGGTCTTCCGCATCCGACAGCTGCACCCCGAACAGACTAAGCTGCGTACTCCACTGCCCCATACAGGTCTCGAGGAAGTTTCGAACTGTACTATCGATCTTGTACAGTTCGAGGACCCTCTTCAACCACGTGTGGGGAACCGAGTCAAACGCTTTTTAATAGTCTATCCAGGCTGCAGAGAAGTTGCGTCGGTTGCGTTTGACCTGTTGGGCCACGACCGCATCGATCAGGAGAAGCTCCTTTGAACCGCGGCTCCCGCCCCTGCATCCATTCTGAGTGTCCACCATGATATGATTTTGCTCAACGTGAGCATCAATCTTAGCCTTCAGAATGGATGTCAGTGCTTTGTAGGTGGTACACAAGCACGTTATGGGGCGGTATTGTGATGGATCCGCGGTATTGGTGGACTTTGGAGCTAAGTGAGTGACCCCAGTTGTTAAGAAGTTTGGGAGACTTTGCTGTTCTAGGGCGTCTTGGAATTGGCGTGCCAGGAATGCGTGGCATGAGCGGAAACTCTTCAACCAATAGTGGTGCAGTCCGTCAATCCCTGGAGTTTTCCAGTTCGGAGCTTTACGGACCGCAGCCAACACGTCATCCGACTCTATGGTGATGGGGTTCATCGCGTCTATCAATGCACACGCTTCCTCTATAGGCGCCATCCATTCGCCCTCTATGTGCTCCACAGGCCGGGACCAGATGTTCCGCCAAAAGGCAATGACATCTGTGACATTCGGTCCTTGGCCAGTGGAGGGGCCAGCTCGTGTCTCCCATGTACGATAAAACTTCTTTTGGTCACTCCCAAAGAGACGATTCTGGCGAAACCTTGCCGCTCTCTCCGAGTACCGCCGTATCCGACTTCCCCAAGCCGCAATTTTCTGTTTCAGGTCATCGACGCGCTCCGACACTTTTCGCATTAAGGTGGGGTCTGCAAGACTGAAATCTATCCCCGCCATCGCCATGTGTACGAAACGCATCACCCTCAGCCTCGTATTGCCTGACCTGAAACTAATCAGTTTGCCGATGAGGACTCTGGTCTCAGCAATACGTTTCTCAATCCTCTTACGCCACGCCGGAGTCTCGCTGTGCCGGGCATTGGTCCACCTCATGCGGCGTACTCCACCAGCGGCGGGGACCGATTGCTGGGTCTGTGAAGACCCTGCCGGACCCAAGCCAGCTGGTGGTGATGGTGGAGTGGGCCGGCGAGATGGTCGTGCCGGCCCTCGGGGTTGGCTGGCTCGCATTCTGCTCGACCCGGCGCCAGCTCCGGACGAGCCCTGGCGACCCCCAGGCAGCGGCCCTATACGCGCTCTGTTTACTCCACTCATCATAGTACATAAATAGGCTTGATACATCAGGGGTCGCCCAATTCCCTAATGGGTCCGTTAAGATAGATTGCACCCACAATGACGGCAGATGGAAAAGAAGCACGGACCAACACTTCTCGCCTATGAGTAACATTTTGGGTGCGAACTAATTGCACTGATACGGCAAATCCTCTCACTAAACTCGCCGCATCAGTGGGCGATGGGGTCGTCACATCCCTACGTACAAGTACTAATATATTATTATTATTAGTACTTGTAATAGTAATAGTAGACACTGACAAAGCATTATCTATAATAATATCACACAGAATACCAATATACCTTTGAAAATCATTAAAAGCTTTAATTAGTACATCAGCTACTTCAAAAAACCAATCTAAATAACTACTTGTACTTACTGTAAGTAGACTCTTAACTCTATTTTACAACAGTCAGAGTTATTTAAAACGGTTACCCAAACATGCTGTAACACGAACATGAGCACAGACTGCGCTCTCCAATGGTATTTATAGCGGGTAGTATCACTTTCATGGGTTGCAGCATCCATGTTGGTTATATACCTACCTATACTCATTTTAAATAATCTAACGGCATCAGTTAGCAAAAATTGTAAATCCTTTTTCAGTAGATTGTGGTATATGGTATATATCGACGCTGGAAAGCAAACACGTAGTAAGCCACAAAACCAAAATGGATATTGAAAAACAGTGTTAATAAAAAAAAATCTATTTTGTAACAAACATTACTATGATCGCAATATACCATCAATAAATATATTTAAGGACACCTTATCCATACCTTCAAATCAAAACTCTTTTTTACATGTATTTTTCAGATGTAGCAATTTAGAATTACGAAATATGGAATTGTTTTTAATCGTAGACATAAAAAGTTTGTATACGCAATCTTAGGAACAAGATCCAAGTGCAGAACGCCAGGAAAGCCACAGCCTGACAAGACTGATTCAAGATAATATCCAGACCATGATGATAGAACTGGAAAAAAGCCAAGGGAACTTCGTAATTAAATAATGCGAACCTTGGATTTGTATACAAAATATCTGGACCTTAATAATTTCCAACAAAAGCTTGTTACCAAAATAATATATTTGAATTATTGATTTAACTAACCTTATCCAGAGTTTTGTTTCTTAACAATTCTCAATTACAGTTCTATTTATCTATTAATATACGCGCTAAAAGATTTGTTTTTTCTATTAGCAGGTGAAGTGACGGTAACGCGGCATATGTCAAGTTATTTAGGCAATCACACAATGCCTTCAAGTATAACTCCTGGTCTGCGCTATAAGAACCTGGGCAAGTCTGGCCTAAGGGTACCCAACATTGGGCTAGGCATGTGGACGATGGTCAACGAAGAGTACGCCGAGGACATTATCATGACAGCTCTAGAAAATGGAATAAACCTCTTTGATTTATCAGAGGCACACTGCGGTAAGTGTCATTGAAATGATTCTCAATTACGCATTCAGCAAGATCTTTCAAAATAAACAACACCACATGAAATTATAATCTAATCTAAATGTAAATACTTAGTTTAGTTTTTAACTTACGAAATAACTTTAATATATCAATTAACTATTTTAATGGAATGTTTCATTTTATTAACAAATTAATATTAATAAAAAAAATTGTATCATAATAGTTCTTTTTGCTGTGCACAATAATAAGTACCTATTGCATGTTTTTCGTTAAGTAGATTTACCACTTATAATAACCTCCATAACTTTCACTTACATATTTTAACATTGTATAATCACTGACTGTTTTATTCATTGCATATTCATATCACCATAGTTTTAAACAAGCGCCAAATAAAAAACAATCTTCATGGAATAATCACAGCTAAAGGTGAAGCTGAACTCGGCAGAATCTTGAAGAAGAGAAACGTACGCAGAACCAGTATTATTATAACAACGAAAATATATTGGAGTACTAAGTAAGTTGTCAGAGCTTTACGATAACTCTGCTTGATATTTCGTTATTGCACTCTAGTATAAATGACATAATAAAAGTTGAATAATTGTGAAAAAAATTACTACATCAAATTCAGCGGAATAAATAATTGTACAAATTATTATCTTTTCGTTTGTCAACGTATTTTCTACTGTACTATCTGTACTATAATGTCTTCAACTGCATAGAAAACCATATTGATAAAATAAAGCACTTTTTACCTATGTATACAATTACGTAAAAATAAATCATAATATTTAAAGGAAACATATAACATAGAACTGAATACATTATACTTACCTTAAGAGAACTAACAATTATTTTTACGTTTCAAATGTAGCAACCACGAGCAGATAACAGTTTTATTGTAGCAATCGATACAAGATGAGTGAAAACGCTTATTGCTCTTAGTACGTTGCTTATTATAATCTAATAAAGAAGGCTTTCGATGTTAAGCTTTCCGTTGCTTAGCTTCTGACGCGTCTACAATATATACTTACTAGGTTTACTCACGCCTATAACAGGTCAGATGAGCGAGGTTTATCTCGAAAACACATTGTTGAGAGTGTAAAAGCATCCCTTTCGAGGCTCCAAGTGGAATATATAGACGTCGTACTTTTACATAAAGTCGATCCGGTATGCCCAATGGAAGGTTGGTAATATATACAATATTTTTATGTTGGATATTTAAGTTTTGATATTCAATTGTACTTTGGTTCCTCAGAATTAGTTAGAGCCATGAACTTTGTTATAAATCAAGGATGGGTCATGTACTGGGGCACAGCGCGCTGGTCGCCATCGGAGGTAAACAAGCACCATGTTAGATTCTCAATTTTAAAGAATTTATATTAATTCTCATTCGTGTTCACAGATAATGGACGCCTACACAAACTGCAGACAATTCAATTGTATAACTCCAATAGTTGAACAAACCGAATATCACATGTTCTGTAGAGAAAAACCTGAGTTATACATGCCAGAACTGTATCATAAGATAGGTGTTGGTAAGTACAGAAAACATTTACGTATCATAGTTAAGGAAAAATAACACATTTGTAGGTACGAATTGTTTGACAGGCATGATGGCGTGGTCAGCCATCACTACTGGCAAGGGTCTAGGACGCGAGGAAATTACTGGGCTTTTTGCTAAGTCACGATTCAACAGAAAATATAGTACGTTTAGCTGGTGCGAGGAAGATCTTGCTGTACCTGAAGTAATTCTTTTAACTTATTTTTCCTTATTTAGTTTTAACTATTTTTACTGACAATATTCTATTATAAATTTTTCAGTGATCAATGTTAAATAAAATGATATTATACCGATTACTTAACAGATGCGAAGTTCAGGGAGCAAGGAACAAGTGACAGGCGAAGAGCCACGCACCTACGGTGATAAGCTCCGGGACCTTGCAAACCTCGCCGAAACACTCAGTAAATGAACATAACTAATTATTCCAATAGTACACCTAATTAAACCAACAGCCAACTTATTTTATTCTTTTCCTCAGACTGCTCAATGAGCCAACTGGCTGTAGCATGGTGTCTTAAGAACGAATCAGTCAATTGTCTTCTCCTAGGAGCTAGCAGTGTTGAGCAATTCAAAGAAAATATACATTCTTTACAGGTAAAATCCTATAACATCTTATTAATAGAATGTGCATTTAAATAGGATAAACATTAATATTTAATGTATTTTGCTTCTGAACAGATTGTGCCACAATTAACACCATCAGTCATGATAGAGATTGAAAGATTACTATCGAACAAACCACAAAGGCCGCCTATGGTTTCTACATTAGCAATGCGAAACCAACAAAACAATAATATTACAGTTCGGGTCGACATGACGTAAGTTACTATTACTGTACAAGTGCAGCTAAAAAGTTTCTCCCCATATATATCTAATATATTATAAAAAAAAATATATCTTATACTATTGTTAGAATTAGAACAAGGATTCGGTTATATGTATCCCACTGCGTGTCGGTACATTGGTTTGCGTAAGCACTGGGTAGCTTACTGGATAACCCTGATATTACGAAGCTACAATTTTTCCCCCTTCTAACAATTACCACATGTGTCAATTCTTTTCACCTGCTTTATAGAGGTGCGACAACTTCGGGAACTGGTTCCCCGAAGCCTGATGGTGAAAATGCAGGTGAAGGTGAGGCGTCCACCCCCGGTAAGGAGTCTGGGAGGGCCTTTTGTGAGATTCAGTGACCGTGGTGGCGCGGAAGCACTGACTCTGCTTCCAAATCTAGTAAATCAAAGGTAAATTAACTTCAACAATCGATAATATCGAGTGACTTGATAAATATTAAAAATAACATTTCATATTTTTAGGAATCACTAAAAGACACAAAGCCAAAATTCTTTTTAAATAATGCTGGAGAAGTCATAAAACGTACAGGTATTTATTCTTTTATTATTAGATATCCAAACGTATGCAATTACATATCTAACAAAGTTTACACTTAATTTATTGATTTCAGAGAAAGACGGAGTATCAACCGACGTGGTAGTATCAGTGTCATCGTTAAAAGGTAAGCAGCCCGCGAGCGGCGGTAGTAAGGTAAAGAAGTCCAAGTCAGATCCAGCTCGTCCGCGCTCCTCGTCCTTGCAACGGTCGTCTTCTGGTCAACTGTCAGGCGCCCGTGATAGACGCCGGTCGCGACTTGAACTATCATCACCTGCTGACTTGTAAAATAAACATGATTGTTGGAACACACTCAACAGCTAAGAAGGGTAAACTAAATTTGTAAAGTCGAGATTACATGTCGAAACTCATTAGTAAAATAATTATTGGTATAACCTTAAGCTACATAAATCAAAGTTTATAACATACATACATGAAGTCAATGTTAGGTCAGTCACGTTTTTCGTCACCCAGAAGTATTTTATATACGTCTATACATAAATAATTACGACAAGGGTAGGTTTGCTAAACACGTAAAGTCCTAAGAGTTTTTCCAAACAATATATTTGCGGACATGTATAAATTTATGATTTGAAGGAACGCTCACACCAGAATTTAATCGACTTAAAAAAAGAGAACGTAATGTTTTACATTACTTTTGACAAAAGTGAGAAGAATATTTGCAATTTAAGCACGGCTTAGTGTCGGCATATATAAAAATTAGGTGGCTGTCCAAAAAATTGGATGCCATAAAATTCTAATTTCAATAAATTAAAATATTCTTTGATCAAGTAAGCTTCTTCATAACAATTTGTTCGACATTATTTACTTTCCCTACCAAAAATTACCGCAATAAAATTACAATTATGCTGATTGTAACCTATACTAAAATGAAATGGAATAAACATATACCATACATATGATAATCATATAAATGTAATGTAATATTCAATATTTCGTTTGTACGTGCTGCTATTAAAGTCTACTAACATCACCAGTGACTCTACCGTGTAACACAATATCTGATTGATATGTCAAAATGGCTTGCTGGTAAATCTTCTATCAGCAGATTAATCAGGGTTGGTCTAGGATTAGACAGATATTGGTAGAGCCGCTGGTCTATATTAACAGAACATCATCATGTAATGATAATTTAAAATCAGAGACTTCCTGCGGTGCTCTTCTGTTATTAAACAGCCTTGAACTCGACGTCAAGCGCAGCGCAGTCATTATAGTATGGAGGTACAATAAAATAAAACCTATTTAAAATGGTAATAGGGTAGTATTTAATTGGCTGTAAACATTTTAATGTATTAATTATAAAATCGCTATTATAGTTAGTTCTTAATATTTAAGAAAATACTTTCGAAAAATAAATTTTACAGCTAGCTTTAAATATAATTCCAAGAATTTTAAGAAATAAACGAATGTTCGACATTTTGTCGTTAAATATATAGATTATGTCTATGTAGATTATGTCTCTTGTTAACTGGATGACGAAATCTGTGATGGAGAAGAATAATTAGGATTATCGGATAATCCAATTCGTTCAATAGATAAGAAATTTGTTAATATAAGAAACTAGAAAACCAGTAGAATAAAAAAAAATATATTGATAACGTCTTCAAGTAAAGTAGTTTTCTTATTGTCGATTCGTACTAATATCGAATAGTAAAATAGCTGGTAAAAAATCTAAGATTGAATAGTAAAAGAAATGGTAACAAAATCTAAAATTAATTGAATATATTATTGTGTTCCATAAAGTCCTTTCACAAGAAACGTTGGATTGTATCATAGTTAATCGAGTTCTAAAATGATTCCTTTGAAGAAACTAAAACAAGAAGCTGAGTCTTTTAAATAATATGTATTACAAGTATATATATTAAATTTTCAATTCATCAAGCCTTCATCATAAATACCCTTTGACGTCTGGCTTAAACGATTTAGTTGAATCTGGTATTAATTCACAATAATATATTTCACTTTCCACTGTGCACAGTTATCTAAATTGGAGCACCAACATCGATCTTTACATTAAAGTTATTAAGGACCGCTTTACTGGCCCAGTTTCGACATAGAGACGGTACCTATTGTAACCTCTTTATCACCAGATGGAGTTCCTTCCACAGACTCGCATTTACACTAGAGTGTATTGAATTAATCCTGTGAAGCAATTAGCTAACGGTAATATAATATTTTTTAAATATTATTTGGTGCCTATTTTACATTTTTTATTAAATAATATATGAATAAATATAATCTTAGATAACAATCATGGTAAAATTAAATGGTGTACACAAATTGAATTAAGAATTAATACATTATTTACATGTAGTTAGTTTTAATTAGGGCTATTTCAATATTTCGCTTTAAATCTCGATCAAGTCCTTTGTCAAATAATGTTTTTGGAAACTATAATTATGTAAAAATTGTTGTTAATTATTTGACAGATGGCTTAATACAAGATTAGCTAATGATGACGAAAAAGCCCTTATTCTCAAAAAATAAAATATTTATATTTTCATTAAGTTAGGTTTAAATAGTTAATACCATATATCAGAGTCCAGTACCTGTTTCAAAGAATAGTTGTAATTATTTGTCTAAATGTCTTCTTTATTGTAATAGGCCATATTAATTAGATAATATGTAAATAAATATATTATTTTTAACTAAAGTATGTAGTTGAAATCAATATTTGAATATGTATATAACCATAAATATTATACATAGGAATGCTACTTGAATATTTTTGTGTTGGTGTCATTTTGAATGTTAAATAAAACACAGTTTATTTTCCATGAATATAAATTAATATTTGTTAGATAAAGTGTGATTAGACAATAGCACTTGTTTGTTACAATAATAGTCTGTGTCCATGATAGCATTATAAAATCGTAAGTAACTGTCTGTACGTCTATCTCTCTGTTATTCTTTCGCGGCCAAACCGCTGACGTGATTGTGATTTAAATATGATATAAAGTCAATTTCAGGCCTGGGGCCTTAAAAGTAACCACACATGGAGCTATTTTTTTAATCAAAAATAGCAGTTGACTTTGATACCACTCTGACGAAGCTACGAATCAAAGCTAGTGTTATATGATTCCAATTTTTATTTTGGTCAATTTAAAGAATTCAGTAGCTTTAGATAAAATAATAGATAATTTAAATATGGAAGTATTTTTGTGCAGGCATAATTTATAAAAATTTAAATGCACAATCTCAATGTATTAGATTAGACCCTCCACCATCACCATGAGATCACCAGGCCTGCACTGTTTGCGAAAATGAATCAACGTTTATAATGTTTAAGCCAGAAGTTGTAGAACATTTAATGAAATAAATCATGCAATCATAAATGACCTTGTTTCATTACCAACTGCATCGTGTGACTTCTTAAATCAGCACAAGTATGACGTCGGATATCATTAGCAGTCATTTAGGTACCAACGGCGCCGGGATGAGCGAGTCGCGACGACACCGGTAACTGGTCAATTAGTCGATCTCATCCCTCCAATGGCCCAGTCCGAGATCCTTACAAGGATAAATATAGCTACGTTCCAGTTCCGCTTAGTAATCGACTATTGTAAAGTGAGATGAAGTTTGAGTGGCTAACTGTGTGGACGCGCAGGCTAAGAGCTCGCGAACCTTCCCAACATGACGGTGGTGTACTTCGATTGGTTGGACTACCTCGTCTTCGGGACGATGCTGTTGGTCTCCTCTTTGATTGGAGTCTACTTTGCGTTCTTTGCCAGCAAGAAGCAAAATACAACAGCCGAATATCTCATGGGAGGGAAAACTATGGGCATTTTCCCAATATCAATGTCACTCATAGCCAGGTACATTAAGACCGATACTTTAATGACATCAATTTCGCCTGAGACCTTAAATTTTCAAAAGTCTGTAATGATTTCAGTTATATTTCTGGTATATCGTTACTGGGATTACCGGCTGAAATGTACACATATGGAACTCAACTCTGGGCTATAGTGTTGTCTGAATGGGTAGTGTCTGTAACGATCGCTATTGTTTACCTGCCCGTTTTTTATAATTTGCAAATCACTTCTACTTATGAGGTAATATGCTAATTTTTTTGATGAAATGTATCACGAAATTTGCAATACATTTAATATAAGTACTATTTTATATTTTCAGTATTTGCGACTAAGGTTCAACCAAAATGTACGCCTTTTGGGCTCGATTATATTTATCATAAAAATGCTACTATACATACCTATAGTAATTTACGTTCCTGCATTAGCTTTTAGTCAAGGTAATATCATGCAATCTTGATCTGTGCATTTTATTTTAACCAAACGATTTTTCATTATAATTTTTTACTTTTCAGTAACTGGTATCAATATACATATGATCACACCCATCGTTTGTATCGTGTGTATATTTTACACAACACTCGTGAGTAATTTTCTGTTCATGCAAGAGTATATAATACTTTGAAAGACCTAATATTATCCCCCACTTCAACAAACAAATTGCTAGTCTGAGCTATTGCAACAGCGAGGTCAACTAAATCAATGCGCCTACTGGCCTTTGATTAATAACAAAGTGTTGCATGTATTGATGATATGAGTACATTTGAAATTGCTTTCCTAAGGGAGGATTAAAAGCAGTCGTGTGGACGGACACCCTACAAACCATACTGATGTACCTGGGTGTTGTTTTTGTGCTGGCTTATGGGACTTGGATGTTAGGAGGTATCGGTAACGTATTTGAAATAAACAAGAAAGGTGATCGACTTGATTTTTTCAAGTGAGTGAACTGATAATTTCTTGTATTTGTTTGGTCGTTTATATTTTACAAATCTTCATATTAAGACAAGGTTGTACTAAAACTTATTTGGATGATCACCCTAGCGTGATAAAATACTATTATAACGATTTTACGTTGTAAGTTAGAAAAAATAATTAAATACCGATACAAATTTAAAATTTTAATTAGATTAGTATTTAAAGTAGCCATTAAATCTTAAAGATCGTTTGTGAAACTGAGACATAGGAAACAATATAGATAGATTAAAAGCACTTTCGCGTGCGATAGAAATATTTACTAAAGCAATCAGCCCACTGTTCTTGAGTAGTATAGGTTTCAAAACATACCTGTTTACTATATAAGGTATAATATTATTGTCTACAAAAAAGGTCCTAATTTTATTATCTGGATGATATAGAATAATAGAAAAATAAATTAAAACTACTTATCGAAACTATGTCTTCAAATAATAACTATACTAAATAAAAAATGTCTGCCAGATCATTGCCTTAAGATAAGGTGCCTAGAAGGCTGCGAGCGTTTCCCGTTTGAATAGTTAAACTAATTCTTTGATTTTTATATGCTGATTTTTTTTTGTGAATTCAGTGTTGCTCCCGTAGTAAATATTGTTCAGTATACTTGATTAATCCACCCAACGAAGTCCAGGCATATAATAATATAACACCTTATGTAAATCTTTTCGATTGTGTCTTTTTCTTTTTTATTTATAGTAGTCAGCTCGATATTCAAAATCATGTCAAAATAAGAGTTCTATTTTTAAACTAATACTGCAATGCTATACGATATCTTACGAATTTATTATTCCAAATTAAAATATTTTTTTTAGATATTTAAATTTCATAGAATATTAGCTCTGCCTGCGTCTGCAAGCGTTTAGGTTTAAAGGCTTGTTTTTCTATGACGTTCCGTGACATATAATATATATATTATAAGTTAATTCATTTATCAAAAACGCGTTGAATTCGCTACCGGAAACCTAGTTAGAAATAAATGTAACAGCGAAAATTGTTTTTCACACCTCCTGCTCGACAAATCCAAATATATATATATATACATATATAAAACTATGTAAATGATACGACCGCTTGTCTTTAGCACACTGACATTTAATGAACTCGTGGTAAATGAATTGCGCCAGAGATTTTACATCATTGGCTTAAGAACCACTGTCAAACACGTTGCAACTAGATGTCAAGTCTGTAGGATCCAGAAAGCGAAGCCTATTACACCACCAGTTGGAGACTTACCTGACGTACGGATGGCTTACAATGAGCGTCCATTTACCTATGTTGGTTTGGATTATGTTGGCCCACTCAGTGGGTGGCTCTCTATACTTGTCTAACTATTAGAGCTGTCCACCTCGAGGTAGTGGAGAGCCTTTCTTCGGATTCCGCTATTATGAGCCTGCGCCATTTTATTGCCCGTCGGGGATGCCCGTCATGTATATATTCAGATAACGGGACAGCATTTGTTGGGGCCTCCAAAATCATTAACGACGATTATGAGTTTGCATCCAACAAGCAGATCAGATGGAAATTTATTCCACCATCGGCTCCATTCATGGGAGGATGTTGGGAGAGATTGGTAAAAAATGTGAAGTGTGCTTTGGCTACGACGTTGAAAGACAGATCACCACGAGAAGAGGTCTTCCAAACTCTAATAATGGAAGCAATATATATATAAAGCTTTATATATTATAGATATATATATATATATATATATATATATATTTAGATTTTGTCGAGCAGGAGGTGTGAAAAACAATTTTCGCTGTTACATTTATTTCTAACTAGGTTTCCGGTAGCGAATTCAACGCGTTTTTGATAAATGAATTTTGTATTAAGTATTGCAAAATAAACATAAGTTAGGTTCGGTTGGGGCCGGACTGCCCCACACACCGTTCGGTGTGTGGAACGATCGGGCCTCGGCGGGGCCACTATCAGAGCGCGACTAAGGAACGGAATACCGGAGACTGGTTCGGTGCACGCTGGGCTGGACATTGGTATCCGGGGCTATCGGGGTGAGGGATTCACGAGGGTTCAGCCCATGTGAATTCCCTCTCTTAGACGGGCTAGGGTGGGAGATGCTCAATTGCGCATCTCTTGCCCTTGACAGGAGGCAAGTCTGGCGGGTTAGCGCGCTCGTCAGGCATTGCACGCTCCCTGTCCTGTCTGGGGATGGACTCGAATGTTCCTGAGCCCTTCCCTAACCCGAGACGGGACCCGCCCTGTTAAGGGGTGGGTCGAGCGGGGACGGCATGCGCGGGAAGTGATCCCGTTGGAGACCGTTACCGCGCGCTGATCCCCCGCAGTGAGGGACATCGCTGAGTTTTAGTGGGTAGGCCCCTGCTCTTTGACCAGCCCCATTCTGGGGTTGGTCCGCAGGGGAGAGTCCCACATAACCCGTGGAGCTCGCGCAGGGTGAACCGGGTATGCGGAATGCATTTCAGGTTAGGTTCGGTTAGAGTATACAAATTACCGCGAAACTGCCAGAAGCGAATTGCTTTTCTAATATGAATCAGTTAGGTTAGTTAAGGTCACTCTAATGCTTAGACAGCCATACCAGTTTATCTTGGGAGTAAACGTGTCTATGTTAGTATCAAATAGTTTGGCCTAGTTTAAACTGTTTTTTCCCTATGGAGTTCAATACAAACGAGTTCCGTTTAGGCTATACTATATATTATATGGTTCACTTATATCTAAATATTTTCATTTATATGAACTTGAAGACAATTGATGTAAAACTTCAACACACAATTTCAGCATGGACCCAGATCCTACCATTAGGCATACGTTTTGGAGCACTGTGTTTGGCAACTATTTCAGTTGGTTGGCTTCGTGTAGTGTCAACCAAGCGATGGTACAACGCTGTCTTGCATTGTCGACGTTAAAGAGAGCTCGCATGTATGTATATTTAGTACAAACATAAAATTTTATAAAAAGTCTCATCAGCCCCGCCCCATTTTTGAGAACGAAATGCACCTCAAGCCTTAATGTCCAACAGTCCCCCTTCCTGGGCACAGGCCTGGAATAGAATTACATAGATAGAGAGGGGCATGGTTATTTATGGTTCAATGGGTGCTAACAACTGCAGATGCAGCCGAGACCAATAACTTTATACCTTCCAATTCCGAAAAATGCAGGAACTCAATATAGTAAATTTTGATAACCACTAGTGACCAGCCTTTGCGAAAGTAATTTAACCTTTCCTTCCAAATCACGAAAAAGTTTGATCATACCATTCTATAACCAGCCCTTGCGATAGTTGTTAACTTTCGCAGACCGAACACTCTAACCACTGTGCCACCCACCTCATCAATAGTCGTGACTTTTGATGAACAAAGCGTACGCTGAGAACGATAGTGATACAATGCTAAAATGCGATTTCGGTAATGAACGTTTAAAGTTTAAGAAATTGTATTCCGCTCCTCTAAACAACTACGCCCCCTAGCAATTTCTATGCAAACTACGTTCACAGGGATCTTTGCATTTTTAAATGTATACCTAACAAAGAAAAATTTTGCCAAAAGTAAAAATACGTCGTTTTGGTTAGTGACATTGTCATTCTCAACGTGCGAAAGAAACCCTTTTGACTATTTAAGATGACCATAAACATTAACAAAACCAGAGGACTGACTGTATACTTATTCTATACTATCCATATATAAAATTGAAAATACCTACAGATTTTGTTCGCTCGACTTTTGGACTAGTAATTTGAGACTAATAAATAAAATACAAAACTTTATTTATAATCTAAAAGCGAAAACAGCCTGCAGATCATGACGAACTAGAGAAACGTTTACTTTACACCCAAATGTCACTTTTCTCGGGTTCCCATACGATATCTCACTCTCGACATATATTTTTGTACCCGTTTCTCTGGTGTCTCTCGTGTTTGCATTACAAATAATAAATAGCAAAGAAATCAGAATATTTGTTTATGAATTATAGTTGTCTTAATTGTCAGTATACCATAAAATAATTAAATGAATTCTTCAAGAATAAAATTTTCAGAACAATATTTATAATGGCTGCGGGTATCTACATAATCGTATCACTGAGTTGTTACACTGGACTGGTGATATATGCCACTTTCGCGGAATGCGATCCACTTTCTACTGGAGCCATTAAGAAAAGCGATCAACTGCTCCCTTATTTTGTGATGACCATCACAGGATCAATACCAGCCCTTCCAGGAATTTTTATGAGCGGAGTTTTTAGTGCAGCATTGAGGTATTTCTCCTCTATTAACTATTTAAAAAAGCGCATTTATAGATTTCTGCTTATTTAATTTACGCTACTAGAATTTTACTATAATATAAATACACTTTTGTTAAGTGTTATTTTCTTTTAGCTCCATGTCAACCGGGCTTAATTCAATGTGTGGGGTGATTTTCGAGGATCTAATAAGACCAGCTTATAATAAACCTATTTCTGAGAAGACTGCCAGTTTTATAATGAAAATTATCGTTGTTGTCATAGGTAAGCTTATTTTTAATGAGCGAAAAGCTTAAAAGACTTGTTTTATACGGAATGAATTTCATGATCTAAGACTATTATTGTGTTCAGGAGCAACGTGTGTCGCTTTGGTGTTCCTTGTGGAGCATATGGGAGCTTTAATTCAAGCGGGTAAAAGTTTGTCGGGTATCACTGCTGGAAGTCTGTTAGGACTGTTCTCAATGGGACTCTTCTTGCCTTGGGTCAACGCAACGGTATACCTTTGTTTAGTGTGTATTTTTGAAACATACTGAATAAACTTAAGGTTCAATAATTTCTAGGGTGCATTAGTAGGAGGTGTGACGTCGACTCTCCTCGTTGGCTGGATATCTTTAGGTACCCAAGCAGCTATGATGCGCGGTGATATAGTGGTAACTCCGAAACCAGTATCAATCGCAGGATGTTCTAATATCACCACGATGGCAACGCCACTGCCATCTATACGCCATGGTGTTGAATTCGATAGGTAAGAAAAAGAGAAAAAAATAAAAGTAAATTCTTTCATGGTCTGTATACACATAACAAAACATAAAGTCATTAAAAAGGCAAAACTTCTGCAATCAATTTGAAAAACAGATTTAAAAAGTGGTTGGAGAAATTTAACCTTTTGTTGAATCCAGACGGTCTATCGAATATACAATGTAATTAAAACTTTTTCCCTAGGTCGGGTACGTTTTTCCTATACAGACTCAGTTATTTATACTACACTTTGGTGGGGATGACGGTATGTGTAATCATAGGAACAATCGTGTCATATTTCACGCAGCCGAACGATCCAGCCATGGTAAGATTTTGCTTCTTAAAAGTAATAAAACACAGAAACGGAAACTTCTGTTATTTCAAAAGATATAACAGAAGTTTATATTTTTTTGTTTTTATACATACAATGCAACCTAGTTATTTTTTATGCAATGTCATGATATTAATACTTATCAAATGAAAGAGTTTGCTATGAAAAATCATAATAAGGTAATAAAATAACTCATTCTAAATTCATTCGAGATGGCAGATTATATTATCTTTACGCACTTACTTATTATGAGTATGAAATAAAATGGCTTAGAAGATTACATGAATACAGATTAAACTAATATATATATCAAGCGGGCCTTTAATAGCTTCTATTTGACACGAAAATAGGCTCCTCGAGGTAACAAATCAAGCCTTCCATTGTTAAACGTTTTTGATAAATGTCAAAGCTAATAACATAATATCTCTGTTATGTAGCTGGCATACTAATATCGACAACTTATAAATTATCTAGTGTTTCTATTGGGCAATAGCTGAAATAATGAACACATTTATATAATGTTTTTGTTTTTATAAAAAAAAGAGTTGTTGCTACTTGTAGCTAGAGGTCATTGCTGAAAGCATGGAAAAATGACTTTGTAACGAAATTGTCTTGAAAGCCGCTCTATAATCCTATTTCTTGTTGTAAAGCTTATTGCTATTCAGCGTTTCTTTGCTACTATTTTTTCAATATCCACATCCAATGCAAGTGGTTCAAGATCCGAGCCACGAGTAATACGAGTTAATTTGTGTACGAGGGCGGTATGATAAATAGCTAGCCTAGCATAGAAAAACTTGAATAAGTGTGTCAAAAGTATATTTATTTTTCGAGATAGTCTCCTTAAACCGCTATGCACTTCATCCATCTGTGCTCTAAAGCCTTGATGCCACCCCTGAAGTGGTTTTCTTCAAGCCCTTCAAAATAATTGTCCATCTTTGTCCACCTAAAAAATTTTTGAGCTTAGGGAATAGATGAAAGTCAGATGGTGCCAGATCAGGAGAATAAGCTGGGTGTGGTAGCAAATCATAATTAAATTCTTTGAATTTCGTCATCGCAGTGATGCACGTGTGAACGCGCGCATTATCAAGATTATTTTTTTTAGCCAGGCCGGGTCTTTTTTCACGAATACACACTGGATAAACCAGTAGATCAGCATAATATTCGCCATTTATGTTTTGCCCTTTTGGAAGGTAATCAATCATCAATATACCCTTCGAATCCCAAAATACTGACGCCATGACTTTCCCCGCTGATTTCACGGCTTTTGCCTTCTTTGGAGACGGGTATCCTTTTTCCGTCCATTGTTTAGACTGAACTTTTGATTCAGGTATATAGTGGTGAACCCAAGTCTCGTCTGTAGTAACAAGCCGTCGCAGAAAATCAGTTTTATTGCTCTTAAAGAGGTCCAACCATTCTTGTGAAATTTGCATACGGACGCGTTTTTGGTCAACTGTAAGCAATCGCGGCACCCACCTTGCATAATGCGGCATAATTTTTTCATACATAATTCTTGAGTCAAAATGTAATGCGCCCGTTCTTTAGAGATGCCTACAGTATCAGCTATCTCGGAAAGTTTCAATCTTCGGTCAGCTAAAACTGCATCATGAATTTTGATCACAATTTCTGGAAGTAGTGGCACTTTTTGGACGTCCTGGACGATGTTCATCTTGGGTGCTGGTACGGCCACGTTTAAATTCAGCCACCCAATTTTTTATGGTCGCATATGAAGGAGCATTTTCTCCCAAAACATCCTTCATCTCCGAAAAAATCTCTCCACCTTTTAATCCTTTTAAATGCAAAAACTTTATCACAGCTCGTAGCTCAATTTTATCCATTTTGCAGAAAAAACAAAAGAATGCTTTTTGAAATGTCAATATTTAAAAGAAAAACTATACGATCGATTTGAAATTTGGAACACTGGCAGCTAATGAACCAATGAGTAAAATACTAAGGAGATTTTATATCGTTATTATACAAAATATGGGTTGGGCTAGCTATTTATCATCCCGCCTACGTATTATTTGATTCTGGACCATTGATCCAAGATGAATCGTTTGTGAGGATGCAGCGGATATACACCTTGTTCAGCTCAAATGGCTACGATCTTGTTATGCGTCTTGAAAGCAATAACAGTGCCGTAGTCGCGTGACTCGGTTTCAAATGACACATCAGAGGTCCGGAGTCAGGTCAATGTAGAAAAATAGAAAAATTCAACGTCTTTTTATCTCAGGTTCATCGTGATTTATTGACTCCAATTATTCATCGGTGGCTGCCTGCTCAGGACCCACGCACTCGCCGCCCTCGTCTAACCCAGCATGACATTGAGATGCACGCGCGTGATCTCGAACGACTGCGTGCTCAGTCACCTTACATGGTTAGTAACATTATATATCCACATCAAATAGTCCAACGCGATAGATCACGCCTGGAGAGAGAGAACAAAACAAAATTATTTCACTAATTTATAGCACAAATTACTGAGATTAGTTACTGATAACTAGTAATTCAGATCTTATCTTGAGCTAAACTTCTCACTCTAAATACCCAAATTCTACGAGCTTTTACTTTACAAACTCTACATCATAATCAAAACATGTGGCTTGGTCATTCTGCTCACAGAATACGGAAATTCTGCTACCGTTACGTAGAAGTAAGATTACTATGTTACTATAGGTACTACTGTACTGTTCAATACTTCGCTGTTTTAAGTACTCCAATAAGTCTTGTGAACGATCAAGTCACAGATGTAGAGATTGTATAAAGCTAAGACATTAGAGTGCGAAGTTTGGCTGTACATAGATAAAATCTGAAAACTTTTTACGGTGCGAGCCATATCAACACCATTTTATAATTTGAAAATATATACCATGACATATGTTTGGTTGTCGTTCACTTTTTTTTTGTAAGTTGTATGAGACATTCAACAATTTTAAAATTTATATTTTCTCTTTTTTAGCCTGTACTATAAATTATTGCGTATTAATGTAAAATGTTAATATTTTTTACCCTTACTCTACTGAATCCGAAGGTCAACGAACCCTCGGGCTAGCAATACGTTTATTGTACGCGCAAATCAACCGGGGCGCTGTTTGATTGGTGAAAGCGCGATGATTGATGAATAAACTGACCAATTGACTCCTCACAGTCCACGTGGACATTTTATCATTGTTAAGTATATTGTTATTATAACAATGATTCACTTTCGAGGTGGCCGCTTCTAACATTATTATCGTTTAGTTGATGTAGGTATATACAAAAACATTATATTATCTGCCTCCTATTTTTAGCTTATTCATCATCACCAGCCATTTTACGTCCCCACTGCAGGGGCTCAGGCCTTCTTTATGGATGGTTAAGGAGGATGGGCCATGACCCTCCACGCTGGCCCAATGCGGATTGGAGGGTATTAACGACTGCAAATGCAGCCGGGACCAACGGCTTAACGTGCCTTCCGAAGCACGGAGTAGCTCGAGATAATAATTATTTTGGTCACCCATCCCTTGACCGACCCTTGCGAAAGTTGCTTAACGACTACGATCGTGGGCCACGGCGCTTATCCAATACGCCAACGCTATTTTAGCTTATTACTATTTGTAAATGTGTTTTTATAAATCTTATATCTTACCGCGCTCTAATCATTAAATAGAATTATTTATAAACGGTTTTAACGTGTGTGTGTATACAGGTTCCGTGTTCATAAATTTTGTGTGAAATTCACGGTTAAAAAGTTTTTACCTGTATATTTTATAGAATAAGAATTTATTATAAATGTCTTTATCTTATTCACAGAAAGTCAGTAGCAGCCACGACGTAGACTGTGTGAATAGAAGAAGATTAAGTAGCCATTACGATAATATCGGATAACCATTCATCTGACGAGACATCAAAAGATAAAATGTTAATAGAACGAAATGCAGTTTCAACGGACGACTACGATATCAAAAGTTAACGGACACATCGAAGTATTTCATAGAATTTCTTTATGTTTATTAGAAAACAAATTATAAACTTCCCGAAATGATTGATTCTATGTGGAATCTATAATGAACTTTGAAATTCGAAATCAATAAATTCAAGAGTGTAATTACGAATCGAGTAAATTTTTATATTGGAAGTTTATGTAATTTGTGCTGTGAAAAAATGGATATAAAAATTTATTAATAAATACTCAATTAAGACTTAAAGATTTTCTCATGCAATGTTCCTATGAAGTTTTTAAAAAAGCCATACATTCCATTTACACATTTGTTTATTATAAATATGTTGTAACTACCTATAGTCATTATCTTAAGTAATTTAAATTGTATAAAATTATTAAACATAAATTAATCCAAAGGTTTTCATTTTTTCATCAATCCATTAAGACCTTGACCACGGCTGTTTCGGTAATTTACTTCACGTAGATTACGTATCTTAAAGAAAAAAAAATAACTATGACATGAGACAAGACGACGAAGAGAAAAAAGAGCTACCATAATTATAGATGAAAATATGAAATATTTATTTAATATTATTTTTTATAGATTTACTAAGAATTAATAAATCTAATTCGAACGAGTGCACGACATTAACTTGTAGGTACTTACGTATTCATCTGCTTCTATAGACCCTCGCTAAGCGAACTCAATCACTTCAGACTTCAATGCGTTTCATCCTTGAGTTTTATTGATGCTTCCGGACCAGACAGTCACAGAATAGAGCTACTATAACTACTAAGGAGAATATGATGTAACTCCACTAGTATTAGGTTCATGTGTTAAGACAAAAATAAAACAACTATGGAAATAAAAATCTATATTTATTTAATTACTCTTAAAACACTGTTACATTATATCGTATAATTATGTACAACAATTCGTCAACCGAGACGTGAAATCAGATCTGTTATTTGTTATAAACTAAACATAGCAAAGACATTAAAAACATAGACACATTAGTAGAGCAAAACATTCATGAAATTAACTCATTGGTATACTGTCAATTATACATTTAACGATTTTAAACAATAGTGTAAAATATTTGCAAAAAAACATAATTATCTATGTTCAAATCTAAATAACGTTTACTTTAACATCATATATATTAACATGACATTTTAATATTAACCATTATTAAAAATATATTCCAATGAACAAATAAAGTATAAAACATCATCATGAGTTAACACATAAAAAAAACTATCATGTTCTTGTTGCAGTTACATCTCATAGTCACCCGCTTGCCAGCACACATGATTCAAAACAGTTTACTAGAGGCACAACAGTTCGCCAGTTTTCACAGTTTCTCTTCATACCCTTAAGTCCAGTCACTAGCCTAAGATTTTAGTTCGATTCTCTTGCACGTACGCATATTGACTGGGAAGAAAACGTTGAGCTCAATGAGAGTGGCTAGCACCAAAAACATGGCGTACATGGCTAGGCACGCCCGCCCCACTGCCGCATCCAACTTGAATTTATTGAACCAGAACGTCAGATATAATAGTAGCAAAGTTGACAGCAGTGATATCGCGGAATACTCCAACCCCATAGAATTTATTTTCACCTGTTAACATTCATTAATATTCAAAACAATATTTCATACTTATAAACTGTGCAATTTGCATAACAAAGTTAGTGACAAATAAATGCGCTTGCCGGAATTATATAACATATCAAAATTAAAGAAAACATAAATACAATGTCTATCGCTGTGCAAATTAATGAAGCACATAAAATATTCGCATAATGCATAATTCATTAGATTCAAATTCGCAATAAATAACAAATATAATAACTAATGCTATACCCAATAATGTCCTGATTCCGCTGGAGTAAGCGATGCCTTGATAAGCCATGGCAATCCAAGGCATAGTAGAATGTCAAATGTATTTGATCCAATCGAATTACTGATACCCATTGATCCATGCCCTGTAATAAAGCACACGATATATTGGACAATGTTAGTTCCTCTCTCATAATGAATTTACTAAACTTAAAAGCTAAATCTTCATTTACCTTGTTTAGCTACGATAACGCTAGAAACTGCTTCCGGTACTGAAGTACCGGCAGCTAGGAAGGTAATACCCATTACTGAATCTGGTATCATCAATGTATCACCTGAAAATATAAATTTTCTATTTATGTCATCTATAATAAAATTACGAGTATCATTTAGAATAATTATTTCTTAAGTTTGTCATTATTCTGTATATGAGTCCCTAAATATAAGATCATCAAATAACTGGATACATAAGAAGCCTTGAGACAACATTACGACTCCATAACAAATTAAGAGCCAGCTAAATCAAATAATTTATAGAGAGGCGTAAACTGCCTAATAACTTTGTATAGAACACAGACTTTATAGCGTCTACAATTATGTATGCAAATATTTCTATCTCAAAAGTGCACATAACCAGATTATCTTCAAGTTTAACAACATACGCAATAGAATATACAATATAAATATAAATATGTAAAATCCTTTTGGAAGATCATGTAATTTATGATGTGAACTCTGACTTGATCAATTTGTTTTGCACATATTGTATGCTTAAAGCTCGTATATATTAAAATATAAAATAGCGATTGAAACTGGAGACTACTTATAGACTTTGGTTCTCATACAGAGAATGGATCAACGCATATTCTTCTTATTTATATAACATGATGTAATTACAATTAGTTTGATGTAACGTCTTCACATGACCTGACCTTGACCTTCAATAGATTCACTGCTAAAGTGAATATAAGAACTAACTTTCCTCAATAAGAGCAAAATTTTTCAATTTTAAGCACATAAAACAACTTACCAATAATAGTAATCATCCAAGCCACTATATATGATAGTGAACCTATCCAAACAATGCACATCATAAATGTAAGTGGAAACCAGTTCTTAAATCGTGGTTTCTCACAGTCTGGTATCGTGAATAAGAAAACCAAATGTATAGGCCAAGTTACGATCCAAGTAGTCTGTAAAAAAGTAAAAATAATTAGTCCTGCTAATAAAAGCAAATGCCACCTACTATTGGTTAAATTTACGATCCAAATTTACCTTGGTGAAACAACTTCTACCACTAGGCCATTTCCACAATGAATGTTCATAAACATCCACTGCTTCTTTCTCATCTTCAGTAATAGAAACAATATTGTCTTCTGTGTTTGTGACATCTACCTCGTTATTTTTAAATTCAATCTCTAAGTTGACATTTTTATTTTTCTCTTCATCCATCACTTTGTCTGCTTGTGTTATATTTTCACCACATTTCTCATTTACATCTGGGTAAAGAGATAGTGCACCTTTTATATTTCCATTATGTTGACGATGATCCATAGGTAAATCATTTTTATTTGTTGATGAAGGACATTTAACATCTTTTATTTCTGTAAATGAAGGAGATAGCAATGGCTTAGTCCCTAAATCTCCCAATATATTCATGATATTGAGAGTCATATCAAAAATGTAAATTATATACATACCATTATCAACATTTATAATATTGTCTTGTTTCTCTTCATTATCAGTTTTCTTGAATACAGTTGAAAAATATTTCCAACTTCCTGAAACGTTCAAATAAATACTAGCTTAAAAAATCTTCATGACTTTACAGGAATTTTACTAGATATAAGAAAATTAACAAATACCTCTTGCAAAAGTTTGTATTGATTTGTCGTAGTACATAATGCAAATATAAACTCCGTAGAGCAAGACCAGGAAAAACGCCTCGTACCATAGGACATACTCATCATGCATAATGCATATAAGTATAGAGACGGTGATGCCATAGGCGAGGCAATCCCGTGTTAAAGGCCACCAATCCAGCGGTACCACCTGAAAAATACCACAAGACTTTCATCGAACCAAAGAATTAAAAAAAAAATCGCTAATAAACAAGCTCGATGGCGCAGTGATTAGCGCGCTCTGTCTACGATACGCTTGTTAAGCAACATTATCAAGGATCGGTCATAGGATGAGTGATCATAAATTAACTGTTTCGTGCTCCTCCGAACTTCGGAAGGTACGTTAAGCCGTTGGTCCCGGCTGCATTTGGAGTCGTTAACACACACCAATTCACTGTGGGCCCACATTCTTGCTATTCGATTTGATTAGATTCCAACCACAGGGAAAGCCTGAGCTCCAGTAGTGGGGAAATTAATAATCTGGCAAAGTGATGATGTGATGTGATTTTTCTAATTTTTCACACAACAGCACCGTCTTAGGATACATCTTAGTAATTTTAGGAAGTTTTTTCGGTTCATTTATTACTTTGTAATATACTTTAATTACGATGACCGAAGGTAAAGTTCGATGATAATCGATTTGACAGCATTGTTACCAACATGTGTCGTTTATTTTATTGCATTAACTAGTCTGTCGCGCCCCAGGTTAATATAAATGAACTACCGACCAATCCTCACCAAGATCAACATCGCCAAAAGCTATTTAATTAATTCAGTCATTAAGGCTAATATGATAAATGCGAAAGTAAATCTACCTGTATGCATCTGTTAAGTTTTCGCGACTAAGTTACTGAACCATTTCTTTTGAATTTCTTTTCATTATCTTTTGAATTTGGTTCACAGAGATAGCTTTAAAGAATATTAGTTTCTAGTGTAAAAACCCGATATCAATGTAGGCGAAGCCAGATTTTGATATAAAAACAAAAACTCTGATGAAAAGCTTTTCCAGTCCTCTTTTTTCAGATCCTCGATCCAGTATTTGCATATTGCATTTTAAATATTTATTATATAAACAAACACCAAATAGTAATTCACATTAACCCAAGGTATATCTTATCGTTAAAAACCTTGAGAAAATGTAGAAACACATTTAGCTAGCTTTGTTTCATATCAGAAATATTCAATAGTTAACAATTCATATATTGTTATAAAAACAATAATATTATTAATATAGTCATTTTTTAATATGTCATTAACTCTATTAATCGAAGGTTTAATGCTTACAAAAAATAACAACAATGGCAAATATTATCTTACTTGATCTCGAGATTTCAAATGAAAAGCGAAAGACTTCTTCGTCAATAAATTGCTAATTGCAAATATCTCAATATCAAATAAATGCTTTCAGGCATTTCCATATCAGCTTACCATTCCAGCTCCTATACCGCAACATGCAGCTACAGCAAGGATGTTAAAAACTGCTGAGCCTACGATGGTGCCGACGCCGATATCTCCCTCCGTGATAAAAGTACCGATCACGTTAACGAAAAGCTCCGGGGCGGAAGTAGCAGCAGCCATGAACGTCGCACCTGCCACGTCGTTCGTCATATTTAGCGCTGGAACATAAAATACAACAGGAATTGAAACTGTGAGACCAAATATAAAATCTAAATCTCATCATCAAATGCTAAAGTAAAAGCCAACAAAATAAGAAGAACTGGCCATAAGCCATCATGCGAGTGGATTTAAATAGCTGCAAAAGAAGCTGTTTCCAATAAGTTTTTGTATTCCGAAGCTCGTAAGAGCTTGAGATATTAAATGCAAATTCTCTCAATAAAAAATAGCAGTCAATATAATAATTTATATACAGAATAAATTATTTATACACAGTGAACACAATATTTCTCAGAATAATAAAATTAAGCAGATTTAAGCAACACAAGGAGTATTGTAATGAGGAATTGAATATACTGTGCACCAAAGTTTTTGAACTTGGTTCAAATATAGAAAATACCGATAACAATTAATCAATCACCAAGAAATTATTTTGGTATGTTATTAAACAAAATAAAATGTCTTTAATTAAAAAAAATATATATATTAATGCATGAAATTATCGCGTGGTAACCAACTTATTTGTGCAGAAGTATTTTAGGGTAGATCCAAGTTAAATACTTATTTAGTCACTCGTACTTTAGTCTAGAATGATTGAATCACTTTCTTACGTTATCTTTTCTCCTCGTAATACTGGTTACGTAGACGATGATCGACGCTGTATTGTTATGAACGTCACAAAAAGAGTCCCTAACAATGCCATGGGAACTCGCTACATAGATGCATCGAACTACTTTTTTATTCCACTCTTATTGTGAACAATATGCTTTGTTTATATTTGAGATGCTTAACTAAACTTCTAAGTTTGAACTATGACAGATTAAACGCTTTTAAATATTGTATTATTGTCTCAAAATAATTAAAATAGATAATTAAAACTTAATATAAAAATAATAGCATTACTAATATTAAAGAGGGTAAATATTGTTTGTTTTCATTGAATAGGTACCGAAACCACTAAACTTATTTTAAAAATTCTTTCACCAGTGGCAAGCTGCACTATATCCTACGTGATTAAAATAGGCTTAAATTCACGCGAGTCACGGGAATACAGCTAGTGATAAAATAAAAAAATTGGCTTCTATTCCTTCATAAATATAAAGAAGTGAGAAATGTCACGCATGAGAAGAGACACATTAAAGAGCGAAACCGAGTAAAAAAGATGAATAAACTGTGCGTTAAGATATTAAATAAAAAAAATGAATGTTGCGATGGCAGCGGATCAAACAATATGTAAGAATATCTCAAATTAAAGGAATTTGACAAGCAAATGATAAAATACTAGCTTTCCATCAGCGGCTTTCCCCGCGTGGTCCCTAGGAAACTGCTTAGTGGAGTAAAAAGTAACACAAAATAAACCTAAATCCAAGCTTAGAATTTTAAATAATAAATCATTTGGATAAGGTTTCATATAATTACAGAGACAAATTGAATCGTAAACAATTATTACTATGATTATGTTTTAATTCCATAAACAAACTTCCATTCCCATTTTCACCCTTTTATTTGCCGTTTTCGGAATAAAATATAGTATACGTTCACCGCATATGATGTAGCTTCCCGTGGGTTAAAGAATTTTTAAAATCGGTCCAGTAATTTCGGGGCCTATTCGTTGCAAACAAATAAACATACAAACAATGAAATCTTTACTCTTTATATTAGTATAGAGGTTAGATAATTACCATGACAGATTCTGTCTACCGCTGGCACGAAGAATTTGTCGCATACCACAGCGAGAGCAATGAAGAGGTATAATGAAATGAGAGCGTGTAGCACAATAGCACCGTGCTGCCGCTGCAACTCAGTGAACAGGCCCGCGGGGAAATCGTCAATGGCCGGCGGCGTGCAGTTCCGTCGAAACACATCTGAAAAAAAACAATTGACTTGACTTAATTATTAAAGCGAAGATTTTTAAATCTCTCCACTGGAGTACTTACATATAAAAATTGTAAAACATACATACTAATTGATTATAAATGTAAGTGAGTATAAAAAACAGCTTATTATTATGCAAACGTACATATACCTACAAAGTTTACAATTCCAGTCAGCTAAATACAAGTACAATAATCTAACGTAATTGACCTAAGTTGTAGTCCAGTGTAAGCTTACCCTATAAATGGAAACCGAACAAATGCAACTTAGAGCTCCTTCAATATTAAAGTGAAATTCAATATACGTATCTCCCTTGTTAAACTTATGATTATCTAGGACAAAGATACAGTTTAACACAATTCATACTAGATATATACACCTACATGTAAGGTGCTATTAACAAAGACTTCTTCCCTATGCAGATCGCCAAAAATTTCAAATGCATGGTAGTATGTTTTAACAGACTTCAAAATCGAAAAGGCTTATATGTTCGACGGAAGTATGCATTTTTATGCGTCATTATAAAAAAATCACTTTAGTATTGTTCTTTTATTTTTAATTTTAGCTGTGTCAATGCTCATCCTCCGTCCATGTTATTTTCGTAAAAAAGAATCTAGATTTAGCTTCACGTAAATAAGGATAGCCCAATAGTAGACTGCAACAGGCTAATATAATGATGATAATATAGTTAAATGTTTACTACATTAACGGTCACCTGCACAAACGTACATTAAGATTTAATGACAATTTGTATGGGTAAAGTCGCTTAAAAACTAATGACAATTTTAATGGACGTTGGTGCAACTGGCTGTTTTAAACCATTATTTTCGTGTGAACTTTTCTTTAATAGTCTTTATAATTATTAAATATACCAATAAACTATCAAATTTCTTCAATAGGTTTCAAAGCTGTTTTTGAACTCTTTGACAATAGAACCCTCTTGAAAAATCCACAGGGAAGCCGTAAAATAATAAAAAACCTAATATATGTTATTTTCATACCTTTGTAAAGAAAAACGGTCATTCCTCTTTTTGACATGTCAGAGAGTAAAATGCATTCACGGAGCAAGTATCACCCTATTAGTAATAATGTCCATGACAAGCAATGATAACGTGATTGGATTTTTTTATAACCTGATTTTTGTGATAATTTTATAAGCTGCGCAGGCTCAATGAAACTTGACGCCCAAGGCAAAACCTTAGAACTTGGCGCTTTAAGCAAAACACTGGAACGACGTGACGCTCATATTAAAATCACAACCAAATAAAAGACTAATACTTAGGCACACCAATTTCAAGAGTGTAATTTTGCCAATTACAAAAGACCCGCTGATCTGCAAAATTTACACTTTATAATACCTACCGCGGGATTTGACACAAGTTCAAAGAACAAAAGTAATTTTTTTAAGGCTCAAATAATTAGAGCAAACATAATCTGTTTGCCATATCATGCCATGGTACATAGATCTCCTAAGAATTATATTATAAAGAGGTAAAGGTACTATGTAATTTTGTTTCTTTGTTTTTAGGAGATAGTCTTCGAAGATGGTGATCTAATCATGAAAATTATTTTAACTGCGGGTAGATATATCATACGAGTGACTAATTTACACGAGCGAAGACGCGGCAGAACGGTAATTAAACAAATAAAAGAAATAAATCATGCCACTACATATGTATAATAAACAATGATACATTTATATTAAACATACTCATTATGAACAAAAAATAATAATAAACTTTTTCCGTCGGTTAAAAAAGAGTTAGTTCATTGAACTTACAACACCATCATTGCAAATATTAGATAAGTGGCGTTTTTAGTGATCATATCGTTAGTGTTAGTTCAGTTATCTTTTTGTGTTAGTTCAGTACATTATTGTTAAAAAGAAGCTCATTTATTTTGTATTTTTGATCGAAGTTTTAATAGACTTCAAAAAAAAGGAAGACGTTCTCAATCTGTTTGTATTGTCTACCACTCATACTATAAAAAAGGAAGAATAGGTTTGTGTGCTTCGAATGAAAATACAGGTGTCTATTATATTTTAGGAAAATATGGACCATTTTAACTTAGAAATATTTAACAAAATAAATTTTATGTCACTAATGTGGAATATATGACGCTTTGAAAATTGGAAAAAGTTGGGAAAATATACTAAAAAAATGCTAAAATACATATAACATTAAATTAGTTACATAAAACTTTACAACTTTCATTATAACAGTTATAAACATAAACGCACAAATTACAAAGATATTACAAAGATTGCCCAGACTATAAATCGCAGACTTGCTGCTACTTCTATATTATTTCTCATATATGAATGGACCATTTATTTATAAAATAAAATAAAAATATTTTCAACTAGCCTATTGTTTGTCTGCCATATTTATATAAGCGTGGGAAATAAAAGAGACAACCTTCTCACTCTCTATGCCTTAACTATAAGGGTGTGGCTCGGTCGTATTGCTACCATCACATAGGCATAAGGTTACCTACTACACTACTGTACTGCTCAATACTTATGTGTTAAGTACAACTTAACTATAGTTCTTGTAAACGACCCAACAACATATTCGATTGAGGTATAGAGTTTGTAAAAACTTTTAGAGTTAAGTCATGTAGAATGAGAAGTTTAGCTCTACGTAAAATCTAAAACTTTTGGCCTGGGACTGGTGAAGTTTTTATGGATTTTTATCTGTATAGTATTAGGAATTTCAAATTAGATTAAATACAATAATAAGGTCAATTTTTTATTTTATCGAAAATCAAAATATTATATTCGGCTTTTTTGGGTGGATTACCTGAACATTAATAAAAATACTTAAGTTAGTAACAAAAAATAACAATTGCTTGAAAAATTCATCAGCTCTGTTGGGTCTCGGGTAGATCAATTCACACACATTATTTACATATTTTTACATACATTATAAGCGTAACTTCTATACATATCCAAAGATAAAAAAAACACTGATAGGGGATCGTTCGACTTTAATAACAATGCCCGAAATAACAATTTTTATTAACCTAAAACAAGACATAGCTTAACTAGAAATCACTTAAGATTAAGAATAGCGTAAGCAGAGTTGTCGTTTCACCAAACCTTTAACATAAGGCAATGC